AATAATACGATAAAATAATCTGAATGCTCTTAAATTAAATTTATTCTTAGAACATATAAATTTATAGAATATCTCTGTTATAAAATTTAGCTTCAAATAAATATCATTAACAATGAAAAGAATCATAAATCGATAGATTATTTCATAAATTAAATACTGTGAACAAACTTCAGATCATCTGTTGCAGTAATTTATTCAATAACATTTTCGAAATTAAACTTATAAATTTAAATATTACTTCAAAATTGACATGGATGCATACATGAAAGATGATAGAATGTTGCTGAATATAAAAATTTTGAAATAGAGTTTGCAAAAAGTACTGCTCTAAAAAAAAACTTAGTTTTAATATTTTTGCCAAAAAAGAGTTTTTAATCGTAGACAAATATATTAAAAATTAAGAAAATTAAATTATCAGGCACAATTAACAGTATGATTTATTTAGAAAAAGAAGAAATAGAAGCGAACTTGATACACTGTCCATTATGTATAGCTTAGCTAACACCTAAAAAACTGGTACATTATTAGGTAAATATCAACGTAATAAGATTTTTATTTGCCAATTAATATCGATGGATGTTGAGCATGTCAAAGCATAAAATTGTTTTTGTGTACACGGTGTATTTTATAATAGTTTTTATTTGATTCAAGCATAAAATTGAATATTAATACATACAAGATATGTGCGATTGACGATATTAGTCTCATAAAAAAAGAAAAACGACTTATATATAGTTGTAAAGGATGTATCTCGTCGTTTACTAATCGAAAATCTCGTGGGATATTTGCATATGTTTATCACTTTTATGTCATGCAAAAAAATGTAGTGTTATATAGAGGAACTTTCTGGAACGATTTTTAGATGGGCATATTCAAATTTTGTTCGTTATTGCCTGTTTTTTTTCGTTGTTGTTTAATATTCAAATAGGAATTTTAATAATTTGGATTTGTTTATACTGGTTTACTTATTTAGATCACGATGGTCGGCGGGAAAAAACGTCAAGATATTTTCCTTATATTTTAATGAGCTGATTATGGTACGATTGTGAACAAAACGTACATATGTTTGACGCGAGGTGTATCGCATGATGTTTTTCGTGCAAAGGACTTTGTGCAATGCAAATTCAAAACAAATACTACAACGCATTGTAAAAATTCAGACTGGCAGACAAAACATAATGCAAGTTAAATATGCATCGCGTATAATCGAATGAAGCTTGAACGTCACGTGAAAACCAACGAGCGAACGCGTAAACGTCAGGCGCATGTAAGAAGCTCTTGCGAACTCTTCGAGCGAGCGTCCTCGTCGAGATAAGATGGACAGAAAGAACGAAAGAAGGAATATCTCGACAACTGAGCAAGGCTAAGCTATCAAATCAGAAGCCGGATCCGACTGGAGTCGTGCGTGATCTGTCAAAGTTTATCGAGTTTTATTATGTTGGCGATTGACTGTAATCGAAAATTGGCGCTCGGAGACGAAGGCTATTTTCAGATTCTTCGACCGAGAGGAGAAAAGAAATTTTTGACGCCATCGACAGTTTACAAACATTGATCAGTCGAGTAGTCGAAAATGCGGGTCATCAGGCGCGCATGCGAATGAACTGATTAGATTTGATCCGTTATAAAAATTTCAATTTATTTACAACTGATGTAGAACAGCTCGTGTCTATTTTTAATACAAAACAAATGTGTAGCTTATTTCAAAAAATCAATTTTTTATTCAAATTATCAATATTTTACTTAACTATGAAAGAAAAATTGAAAAAACCAATTATCCAATAGATAAATCATAATTCGCGTCTGGCTTTCACTTAGAAAGCTCTATTTCTCTATCTCTCCCACCCCCTTAAACTTTACAAAATTACGCAAGGAGCACGTTTGTCGCCAGTCGAGATTCACGTGTCGTTACATCTCGCACACGTTTCCAAACACCAGCTTTTTCGCGAGGAGAGCTCGCGAAAAGTTTATACCAACCGTCCTTTTTTATTGCTTCTTCGCAGGTTCAGCACGCGGGCACGTTTTGTTATCGGCCTCAGATGTTTCTTTGTTGGTATATATCCTCGCAAAAGGAATGCAAGGTGGATGCGCGTGTTCGAGTTTACAAAACTTTGGAGATTAAAGCAGCAATTGTTGTTCAGATCAAGACACATTGGAATGCGGCTTTTTTCTCATTTTGATAACAAATTGTCACGCGTAAATTTAGCACTCTGAAAGTTAATAATAAATACCGCGAGATTAATTTACTATTGGTTGTTCAGGTGACATTGCATAATTATATTCTTATATTAAATATGTGCTGATAGTCAAATAAACAAGTTGCTTATATTTTCAAGATTGAATATTATAAAAATGTAATGTTATTTTTCTAGCACATACTTTGAGCACCCAATTTTATCATAAAGTAAAAAATATAAATATAGCAAATCCATAGGTTTTATTAAAAAAACATATTCAACGAAGGCAAGCCTGAAAATACATGATTTATTTACGTGTTTGAACGGCAGCAGCAGCATCTCGTCAATAAATATCCGTTCAGTGTCGTAGATTTTATTTTTTGCATTGTCCGCCAGCTATCAGTCTCATTACTTTCTACTCCATTAATTGGGCTCGGACGCACGCGCGCACCGAGAGGGAACTCTCCGCTTGTGTCGTGAGTTATCTCCTTTCCAGAAAAATCCTGACCCGCTCGACCCATCAACGTATACATTTGGCGACTTGAATAAAAATATAACCGGTGATATTCAGTTATTTTCGCTCCTACTGCCGAATGCAATGGTTGTCGTTGTTGTTCTTACAGCGGAACTTCCTGCTTGCGTCTGCCGCACTGTTATAATTGTCCGCGCTATTAATAAACAACAGAGGTGTGAATATATTTGTATAAGTGACTTTTGCATATTGTTAATTTCACAAGCATTATCCATTGTATTTTTTTTACAAATGATTTGTTTTGCACGAATATTTCGTGACGTCAATTGGATTATCTTTGAATTATTTTCGCGATTATTTTTTTCGTGAGATGACTGACAAACTAAATTAAGACGATGAGATGTGTAGACGTGACAAATATCACGTAACTTCGGACCGTTCTCCTCCTATGAATCCAGCAATCGACGAAATTTTGTATTCAGGCCACTTTCTACTTGCTCCGATCGTATCTTTCGTGAATTATATAAGAATTTTCTTTCTTGAATTTCGGCATGTTACTTAATCTCTAATGGTTGTTGCAAATTCTTACCTAATTTTTCGTTATTATTCGGTCTAAAATTACACTTCGAAAATTTAACATGCTATTTAAATATCATGATGATTAAAAATTCTTCCTCATGGATCATCATAACACAAACCACAACCACAACAACAACAAAAACATTAATAAGTCAAACTACATATACTCGGCGGATGCGTACGTGATATTTAAAAAAAAATCTTGCAAATCGCACGATGAACCAAAATAAAAATCACATGATCGGAAATTCCAAAAAATTCCGTCAACCGGCCTTGCCCCTCTATCACAGCGTCCCATCTCACTCTTTGCTTTCGCGTCTATCTCGGTCTCGGGGAAAAAAAAGGCTCGTGTGAGAAAAACGTGCGCGCGTCACGTGCGAGGTAACGTTCTACGGCGTCAAACACGTGATTCCCCTTCAACGCGGTAGTGGGGAGGTCGTAAAAGAACGTGGCGAAGGAGAAGAGGAGTAGGAGAAGAAGCGACTGAGGCTTCGATACTCGCCACGAGTCGACCGACCGGCTATTAAACTCGCGGACTTTGTGAGCGACGCACGTACACTTCAGCTTTTCCGATAAGTGTTGTTTGTTTCATCGTTTGGAGTGTCGTTTCATCGTCAAAGTGATTTCGACAAGTTTGTGATCGCGATCATGGTTACGCATAGTATGGAGAACATCTTAAGTATGCAGTATTACGCGCCGGTGAGCGACGAGGCACTGCACTCGCCACCTGCGCGCAAGAAGCGATGTGTCGCCAAAGAGGTGATTATATTGATTTAATTTACGCGTGCAATCGGAGGGATTATCGTGTCGAATTGGATTGTGAAGCGAATACAACGATTTACTTTATGCATTCTCGTTTGCCAAGTATGTCTCGACGAGTGATTAATAATTAGAAGTGATGGTTGATTTGTAATAACTATGTCATCGATTTCTTCTCGGGCATGCTGATAGCTTGCTTTTTTTATAAAGTGCTGTGTTGTAAACTTTAGTTGTACTTGTTTATGTGTTTAATTATAAACGTTTTCTGTTGATAAATGTATTTCCTGTTAATTCTACTTGTTTAAAATGATTTTTTTTTGTATTGTGGAAATTCTCTAGCGGTTGAGAAAACTTGATAATAATATTTTGCTCGAACATTGCAGTAAAGCATAAATAAAAATATCATAAGTGGACATTGAAGGTTCTAAAATCAACTGTTATAATTCTACTTCCAGCATGGATACAAAGCTGACGTATTCAAGGATTTGATGGCACAAATTGTGTGATGCTTGCAAGCTTTTGGGAGGTGGCTGTTCCATTTAACGGAACAACTCTTTCCAGAGGTGCGTTTGCATTTAACACATTAACATTGCATTTACTTTCATCGATCTTTTAATTAAATTGAAATGTTTTGTCTGACCACATCACTCGTATACTACTTAAAGCGTTTACGTGATACTATAAACATTTATATCTTGTTATCTCATCTGACCAATATCGTCCTTTCACTACTTGGCGCATTTACGTGAGCCTATGAACTTGTTGATGAAATATTTCAAAATGAAAAAAATTCAACTTTCAAATTAAAATTAAACTTATTTCTTCTTTTTATAATAAAACGTGCATCGGTCATAAAACTAGCTAGAAATATATCGTGTCGAACAAGTGGCATCTCGTATTAAAGTGTTTGCGTCTGACCAAAAAAATTCAAGCGAAACGCAATACTACTCGTATATTGTTCTTCCCTAAAGTGTGAGTCAATGTGTAATGTATCTTTTTCAATTGGTTTGTTTCAGCAAGATCCAATGTCTCATAGAATCATCGAGAAACGCAGGCGAGATCGCATGAATAATTGCCTGGCCGATCTTAGCAGACTCATTCCCGCTGAATATCTGAAGAAAGGAAGGGGTCGCGTTGAGAAAACAGAAATTATCGAGATGGCCATTCGTCACATGAAGTACTTGCAAGGTGTCAGGCAAGGTGTGTGTCATTGAAATCTGCAAATTTTTTAGATGAGCGGAAAGAAATTCAGGAAAGTTAACGATAATTTTTTTTACCTTCGTTCAGACACAAAACATCACACACCAGTATCGTCAGTGCACAATGTACATGGCGAGGACAGTGTCGACAGCGTGACGCACCCATCAGTCTCGGCAGCAAGCGCAGCCGAACACTACAGGCTTGGCTACCAGGAGTGTCTCAGCGAAACAATGCACTTCCTCGTCGAAGCCGAAGGTTTCTACGCCAGAGATGCTCTATGCGTTCAGTTAATTAGCCATCTTCAGCAGCATTGCGAGAAAATTCTCGCTACTAGTGAGTGCCTTTTTTTAGTTAGCTTGGCAAAAGAAATAAAAGGAGCGTCTGTTTTAACGTTCGATTATTTTTATTTTATAGGCGACAGATTGGGGTTTCCACATCCAGTGGATCTGCCAACAAGCAACGGCACAGCGTGCAACGGCGTCTCACCATTCGCTCATGTAAACGGTGGTTTACCAACCTCTACGTGCCCAACAAACAATTCCATTAGCAATGGACTTGGTCTTCTCAACAATAATAACAACAATAATTCCTCGACTCTTAACGATAATTCATCGTCTCATCCACTATTGCACAACGGCAACAGTAGTTCCGATCGGTGTTCAAGTTCCGGCGTCTCGTCGTTCGACTCGACCGAATCGACTCGACCGCAGCGTCCATTGCTTATACCACCACCAAGCCTCGTCAGTGATGACAGTAATCATAGTACTCATTCTCAAGTGTCCTGTCATCAACCCATGCAATTGGACACGAAACCACCGACAAATTATAAATTTAAAAATTCCATCAAACAGAGATTTTCAGCAGATCAAAGGATAAAGACATCGGCATCGCCACCACCTTCAGCAAGTAGTTCCGAAGCATCACCGAAACATCAAGCAACAGTTACACATCAAGGTGTTCCTATTTTCGCGTTGCACGATAATGGTGGCTTCTACATACCTCTGACAGTCGAAGCATCGATGCTGAGGCCGCATATGGGTTACACAGCGGATCTTGGACCTGAAACTGTTTTACATCCCGTTACGATATCTGTGAATTTCAATCATTCGATGCCACCCGCGTGGTCCCATCAAAGTCCAACTCATCAGATTTAGTGAGAAGCGGAATGTTGGTTTTTGTTGATAATCTGATGTATAGACTGTCTTGGCAATGGTCGCTCATTCTCGAAAAGTGTGTTTTTAGGAGGTCTTTTTATTTGTTAGCCTGGTATTCGTCAATAGTATTTTTGTAACCTCTAGCATTTTTTTGTACAGGACGGATCGCATTATATTTTTTGTGTATACTACGCGGAGAATGAAATTTTTTAATCGCACACTGTGAAAGAATAAAAAAGATCTAATCAAAAGTTACAAAGAAAAATTATAAAAAAGTGACGAAGTCTGCCGCAGCATTTACCTATTATCGACTATCGTGGATTTATGGTTTCTTTATATTCCAGAATATTGCGCAAAATTTTTATTCTTCTATTGAAGTCGTTTCCGGAATTTCGAGGTGAACAACTTGCGCATTTTTTAAAATGAAATAAAAACTACTACACGGTTGGAAACAAACTAAAAATAAAAAAGAAACGGTGATTATTAACGTGTTATTTTCTCCATTCAACGCTTTATTTTTTGTCATGTACTATGTAGTAGCAGTTATAAGATGAGTATTGTTGACTTTCTCGAATTCAACTGGATGATAATCAGTTTTTGTCCAAAATTGTTATGTCTAATAGCTTTATGAATGTTAAAGACTTTTTTGAATTTACGAATGTAAGAGATATATACGTATACTATTAACTTGTAAATTTCGTTGAATTGATTGTGAAAAAATATTGAAATGCTCCGTTTTTGAAAAATTCTTTGATCGTTTCCGACATAGTTTATGTAAAAACAATAACGATGCATTTCAAAGCTCTTGTTAAACATGCTTTCAATTGCGTATTATTTTCCAACTGTGTAAATTTGTGATATTATATTCGTCATATTAATGATGTAACAAAACAACACAAACTAAAAATGGAATCGTTATTTGCGAGACAGCAATCAATTGTTTATCTTAAAGAAATAAAAAAATATATGCTAACAAGTCAAGTTACGGTTTCACACGTTTAGGTTGTAAGTGAGAAAGAAATATATCAGCCGGAATTTCGGATGCGCAATAATTAAGTTATACATTACGTAAAAAATTATAACAACAAAATATCAACAAAAAGAAAAGAGATGCGTTAACCGTTAAGATTGTATAATTGTTAAGTATGTAAAATATAATGAAGAAGAAAAATAAAGCTGCAAAGCTGTCTACTCGTGTGGCACGAGTCGAAGGCTGACAGGCAGCGGGCCTCAGCAACACAAGACTGACCGAGACCTGCATTACACTGAAGAGAAAACATTAAACATTTTCCTTCTATAAGATCACCCATACACTGCATTAACTATAATTTGTACATACATACCATGCTTAGATGTATAATACGATGTTGAGATATGACTGTGAGAGGAATAAATTATATATATTTACCGTATTGAGGATCAATGTTTTTTTTCATTTCTACATTCCTTTACAGTCAACAGTGCAATTAATTATCTACTTTTATGAATTTTTTCTACTAGATATCTCTACGTAATGAATATTTAAGTTGAAGTTTTAATTGCACGATCTATAAGTAGTATTCAAATTATTTCGATTTGACAAAAAATCAAATTAAATTTGCTGTAGCGAAGAATAATAATTATATACTTATAGCAATATAAATTATAATTTCGTTTTCTGAATTATCGTGTGACATGAAACAGCAAATCTGCAGTCCCGTGACATATATACCACTTTTCTTCTGTCGTAAAAATGGCAATGAAGTTCACAAAATTTCTAAAGAGTACAGTAATAATGATAGTATAGTAATAATAATATTACTTCATTATTTACTGATCGTCAACATTCTCGTACAATTAATATGAAAAAAATGGTATTAAATTCCACAAAATTGAGGAATTAATAAAACGATTGAGTAAACACTTACTTTATTTCACTAAAAATTAAAAAAAGAAACATATGAGATAGGTAACGAAGAAAACTTGCGGTAGAATAGAAAAAAAAATCTTTAAAAAAGAAAGTAATAATAAATATAAGTCGAAAAGATGCATACTCAACTACCATGAATGCAGAATAAAAATCTGTCCACTAATGGTGGCGATTAAAAGTTGTTATTTTATTACATCAACATAATACTGGCTATGAGGGGAATGCGGGGGTAAACGCAATTCGCAGAACGCGCCTACAATGTTTTCTTTCGTGTATATATCATATATTATATACGTGATACTTGAGGGGGCGGAGGGTTTCGGTTAAGGGATTTTATAGAAGGGAGAGTAAAGGTTAAATGGTGACTTCAGAGAGTTACATGATTTTCAATGGTCAATCCCCGTATTTTCTACCGTTTTACATATTATTTTTGTTTCGTTATAATTGCCGATCGTTTACGCATGCAATACTTGTTCGCTTGCGAACTCATCATCCGAATACATCCAAGGTCAGCCAGGCCAGGACTTACGATGCTCGCGTGCGCATATCATTCTAATTTTCATGTTCCTTTTTTTCGTTCATTGTTGATTGGTGATATAATAATCGCTACAAAATTAAACAATCACATTTTCTATAACATGCCCTTGTTCGTATAGAGAACGTCGACGTTGCGTTCGTGAATGCTTCATTTATTTCCTTCTTTTTTGGTATTTTTTATAGTAAATAAATATTAATAATAGCAATAATCGTAACAATAACACTACTAGTATAAATTATGATTGATAGTACAATAATTAGCAATAATATTAGTAATAATAGTATTAAATGGTGATTCGCAATCAATACAAGTGAGTTTGGATAAACACATTTTTTCAGCCTTGAGAATTTTTTGCTTTTTTCTTTATTTGACAACGTATTTTCAACGTGCGATTGAGACGACGAAAAACTTGTCTTGATTTTCGTGGGTGATTTTCTTGAGATTTGAACAGTTATTGATAACTTTTTTCTTTATGTTCTTGACATGTATGAACATATTATTAAAAAAATAAAGCATTTGAAATTTTTCACAAGTTACGACGAAATTTAAAAGTATATTTATTAATGTTTTCAAACATGATACGTTGTTTTTCACATCTAAAAAAATTCTGAATAAATCAAAATAACAGCAATTTTTTAGGGAAATTCATTTTTTGGAATCAATCGATTGTACTTTTCGGTATAAAAAGTGTACATGCAAAATGTGCGTTACTTCGTACAAAATTACGTAAACAGTGTGTTTTATAAATATTTTATCACGTCAGTAAAGAAAATTCATTTACCATACATTTATTAATCGTGAACATACAAATGATTCCGTTCAAATCTAAAAAATCCCCGTGTAAATCTTTGTCTTGTCGAGTTAGATCTAAACCTAACTACGCCGGAGTTTGTTTAGGGGACAAATGCGAGTGTTTTCCACAATACCACCCGTTTGCATGATTCTCCCTTATTCATTTTTTGAAATGATTCTCCACACGTACACGAAATAAAAATTGTAAAGTTCAATTCCATATTCATTATTTAAGCAATTGTTAATTATTCAATCATTTGCAATCTAACAGTCATCGGGTGTAGGCTTCGTAAAAATTCAACTCGATATTTATTCATTTGATTTTTCATCGTAAACAAAGCCTTTTCGATTTGTATAATATAAACGACCAAGGTAGATGACACTGTCATCTGTCGTGAAGAGAATGTGTGTTACGGAAGATAAGCCAACGGGTGGCATTGTTATGCTAGCCGTGGCAAAAGTCGACGATGTTATGGAATCGCCACGACTGATTGAGCCGTCCCTAGCAGATACATGGTGTGCGCGGGGCGTGAGTGAACTGAATATGGAGATTCGGATAAATGCGCGGATTAAGGACCACTGGATAGCGTGAAATCACGGGCTCGTGAAGATGATAAGGTTTGGCTGACTGAATAAGATTTGACTCGTATGAACGACCTGTTGGTAACTCGATGGCTGCTGGCCAACAACAACGAGCTAAACAATTCTGATGATGATGGTAATGATGTTGCTGATGATGATGATGCGGATGCTTGACGATAACGACGGATGATGTGATTTCGTCGACGGCGACCTTGACCGCGAGGGTTGTTGCTGTTTCTGTTGAGAGATAATGGTCATCGCCGAGGCGGGTTCTTTGGCTTCCGAGGAAGCTTGATGGTTACTTTTTCTTCTGGGCCTTCTCCGCGGCTTTTGTTACTTTGCCCTGAATTTCTTTGAAATTCACGCTCTGAAACGAAATTGTGCTTTAGATTAGAATAAAATAACTAATCGATGAAAATAATAGTGTTTATTCAACAAATAAAAATATCTTGACAGTTTCTTGTTTTCATTTTGGCAATAGGACAAATTTTCAAGAAAAAATTGGTGTCAGTGGCGCTTCATAAATTCAATATTTTAACCTGTTTAAAATCCGCTTTTTAGTAATACAAAATCAAGTAATAATATGTACCTTAATGACTCCCACAGCCACAGTCTGTCGCATATCACGTACAGCAAATCTTCCAAGAGGCGGAAACTCTTGGAATGACTCGACGCACATTGGCTTAGTCGGTTGTAACAATACTATAGCCGCATCGCCGCTCTTCACACTCTTCGGATTCTCTTCAGTAGTCTTACCTAAAAAACAAGCAGCAATCATTCGTTATGCAAATGAAAACTTCTCAACTCAATCCAACATTAGAGTTATACCGGTACGACGGTCGCACTTCTCCTTGATCTCAGCAAACTTGCAAGCGATATGAGCGGTGTGACAATCGAGCACAGGAGTGTATCCATTGGCAATCTGTCCGGGATGGTTGAGTACAATAACTTGAGCAGTAAAGTCTTGAGCACCCTTTGGTGGTTGATTCTTGGAATCACCAGCGACGTAACCACGACGAAGATCTTTCACGGAGACATTTTTGACGTTGAATCCTACATTGTCACCGGGTACGGCCTCAGTAAGAGCTTCATGATGCATTTCCACTGATTTAACCTCAGTGGTGAGGTTAGCAGGAGCAAATGTCACTACCATACCAGGTTTCAGAATACCAGTTTCCACACGACCAACTGGTACGGTACCGATACCACCAATCTTGTACACATCCTAAGTGTCAGAGAGTTTCAAATATAAATTTTCAATTCTAACATCTGTCATTGAATCATCGTCTTACCTGAAGCGGCAAACGTAACGGTTTATCCGTAGGTCTTGACGGCGGCAAGATAGCGTCGAGTGCTTCGATCAATGTTTTACCCTCGGCATTGCCGTCCTTACGCTCGACTTTCCAACCCTTGAACCAAGGCATGTTGGATGATGGCTCGAGCATATTGTCACCGTGCCAACCAGATATGGGCACGAATGCCACGGATGCGGTATTATAGCCGATTTTTTTTATGTACGATGACACTTCTTTCTTGATCTCCTCGAAACGCGTTTCCGAGTATGGCGGCTCAGTCATGTCCATCTTATTCACTCCAACAATTAATTGTTTAACACCGAGGGTGAAGGCGAGCAAAGCATGCTCACGGGTTTGACCGTTTTTGGAGATACCAGCTTCGAATTCACCTATTACATCGAAGATTGGTTAAAATTTCAGTCTCGTGTTATACTGCGAATGTTTTTTTTTATTGCGAAAAATGTACTTTACGATACTCTTGCGAGAATCATTTTATATTTCTTTTGTGTAACTTTGCGTGTATCGATTGAGGTCGTTAATCTCGGTTTTCAAAGTGAGATGTTACCATTAAACTTTGATGGCCTAGTCATAAAGAAGTACAAAGCGTATAAAGTAGTTGAACCCAACCCGCTTCGTGTTTTCGAGTCTTTTGACGTTCGTAAAGTTGCGCTTTTGAAAATGGGGTATGAAAGTTTTTGTTCCGCATGGAAATTGATACTTACAAAGAGCAATAAACACATAACCAAAAGCGATGACAAAATAAAAGCTCACCAATTCCAGCAGCAACGATGAGTACGGCACAGTCAGCTTGACTCGTGCCAGTGATCATGTTCTTGATGAAATCACGATGTCCAGGAGCATCGATGATAGTTACGTAGTACTTGGCTGTCTCAAATTTCCAGAGTGCGATATCAATGGTGATACCACGCTCGCGTTCAGCCTTCAGCTTGTCAAGTACCCAAGCGTACTTGAACGAGCCTTTGCCCATTTCCTGAGCTTCCTTTTCGAATTTTTCGATGGTACGCTTGTCGATACCACCACATTTGTAGATCAGGTGACCGGTTGTTGTCGACTTACCTGAGTCGACGTGACCGATCACCACGATGTTTATGTGGATTTTCTCCTTGCCCATATTCTTAGTTGGGGATCGTCAGACTAGTCTGGAAGGATATAATTGTAGAATTCAATTTATATCAATCGCGATGAAAACTTGCGTCATCTTTCAACTCCATTTTTGTTTGTATTTTTATTATAAAATCATATTACTTTCGAAAAGACGTTCGAGCGTCGGAATTGTAAAATCGAATTAACAGCCGACATACAAATTGCTCAGTGCCGCTAACTTGATAACACACATCGCTTTTTTTAGTATCAGTCAACCTATAAAGTGAACAAGCGATATAGTTATTGCCTTGTGTTATTTAATATGACGAAACATTGTTAGCAATGTTTGCTTGCTCGTATTTGGTATTACCGTATGTATACCTATATACATTCGCCGAGATAACATGGACAAAATTGAATACGGTCTTTACTTTCATGCCTCGGGCAGGAAAAAAATTAATCTCGTAACGCATACATCCGCGCCGTTCGTTGGTGTGTAAAATATAATCCAATCGATAATGTACATATTGCATTTTTCATTTCAATTTTAGCTGGTCGATTATATCGATGTAAAACTCTCATTCGAAAAAGTCTGTATATATCGTGGGAGTAAATAGTGTCACGAAAATAAAACCAACACAATGCAAAAGAAAAAAGCTAAAGAAAACGAGGAAGAGAGGGCGTTAAACTTCGACCTATGACCTGAGAACATATATATATATATATATATATATATATATATATATATACATCATCCCTTACTATGTGTATTCTCTTGTAAGTTTCTTTACAGCTACATATGTTGAAAGATAACTAAAAATATTTCGCAGAGTTACAGAAAAATAATTTAGCAAAGATTTGCAGAAACGACAAGGCTGCAAGTGCAAGAATAAAAGCGATGATGAGGGTCGTCGGCGGTGGCAACGGCGGCGTCGTCGCGCCCCTCTTCCGCAATGGCCGGCAGTCTCTCTCTCGAGATCGATCCACCTAACCCCTTTCGTCCGTCTCCCCGCCTACCGCAGGTATCTCTCTCTCTTTCTCTCGCTCGATGACTACAGATAGACAGAGCCAAATAGGCAAAAATATCCGCGAGCTGATCCCCGGCGGCGCACACGATCACATCTTCCAATATTTGACTTCAACCTTGCTGTTTCTTCGTCGCGGTGAACGATTCTTCGCGAACGATACGGAAAAGGGAACATGCAAATAGAGCTTGCGCCGGCGGATGGCCGGGGATCGATATAGTCTACCTGCCGGTAGATAGCTTTTTTCGTTCGAGTCCCTTTCTTTTCTTAAAATTTGTCGTTGCTGCATTCGATTTCTCATGTGTTTTCGCGTGAATATTGAAGCGACTTACCGTGCTTTATGCGTGAACGGCGCAGTTGAGCGGATGATACGAGTGAAGCTTTCGGGGGTTGCAAGTAGAAGAGGCAGACGTGGCGCGAGTCACCACCACCACCCGTACTCCAACTCTCTCTTCGCGTTGCACACTCTCGCAAAATGTATAGTGTTCCCTCTCTCTCTCTTTCTCTCTCTTTCTCACACATGCGCGAGAAGCTCACCGATCAGTGTCTCTTTCTAGCAGCTAAAGCCAATTCTGCGCAAGCGTCGAGCCTTATAGGTAGTTTGCATGGCTACGCGTTTCCCGTTTCGCGATATATACTTTTCGCGAGGGTTGACGTTGGATATGTACGTACGTGTATATAGAGGATAGATGTGCTTGACGCTTGCGCTGAGCTTCCCGCGTTGTTTCGTTCAATTTGAAATTTGCAGACGATGAAAGTTTATATTTTTAAGCCAAAAAACAATAACTGTATTCATTATGGTATTATATATTTTTTTTTTGTTTTCAACTATATTTAACATCTATTCGACGATACTAAATAAATGGTTTTACAAAATGGGTAACATTGTGAATTAAGATCTATATTATATGAAGGTACTTCTCCAAAGATCAATATTAAATGACATTACATTATATAATGTAATTTTACGTCATTTTCGTAGATGCTCCACCGAAGATCTTTCAAGGGATCAAAATTTATATTGCGTTGCAAATTGACAGTTTTTACGTGATTTTTCTGTTACAGATGATCCTATAAATAAATTTCATTTTTTACTTATTTTTAAGTTGAAAAGAAGTTTGTTTTACTACGTTTCAAGTACATTTAGATATAAGTATTTCTGTATCTCAGAATAATCTCACAATTAACTTGTCATAATGGGTGTAAGATAGAGTTACAATAAGTCTCGTGTGGTAATAATTGTACCAACTTTCGATGCCAGCACGCCGTATATATCTACAGTGCCGGTCAGCCACTTTTACCCCCCCACGGGCAAAATCAGTCTAACTTCAAAGTTTTATATCTCTGGTAGAAATTAACGTACAGAGACGCGCGTGGGTGCGTTTGAAAGGTCTTTCGGAGAGCTTTCAAATTATATGACTCACGGTTGCCATCGATTGTTTTTTTAAATTTTGCGACAATTATGCAAAATTGAAAATTCTGAAATTTTTTTATTATTTTTGACAATTAGCCAATTTTGGAAAAAAAATCGTACGAAAATTTGAAGTACACCATTTCCTAGCTATTACCAAGCCCTATCTGAATCACTCATCAAAAATTTATTTTCGTCAAATATGACGCGCGCACGGGCATTTTTTCCTGGAAGTGACAGTTTTTTTCAACATTTTTTATCTCCGTCAAATTGTAACAATCGAAAAAAATTTTATAGGAGAAAAAATGTTTGTTTTTTCACGTAGAATACTGCAATAATTTTTTTTTCGGTTTTTCGAAAAATTTTTTTTTTCGGTTTTTTTCAATTTTTTTTTCTCACAGTCGGTACGCTAAAAAGATGAGAAACCACAAAAAAAAATGTTTTTCCACCCATTCAATAATACTACATAACAAGTATCGTAAATTACATCAAAAAAAAAATCTTTTTTTTTTCGACCTTGAAAAAAAATTTAAACCGAAAAAAAAAATTTTTCGAAAAACCGAAAAAAAAATTATTGCAGTATTCTACGTGAAAAAACAAACATTTTTTCTCCTATAAAATTTTTTCGATTGTTACAATTTGACGGAGATAAAAAATGTTGAAAAAAACTGTCACTTCCAGGAAAAAATGCCCGTGCGCGCGTCATATTTGACGAAAATAAATTTTTGATGAGTGATTCAGATAGGGCTTGGTAATAGCTAGGAAATGGTGTACTTCAAATTTTCGTACGATTTTTTTTCCAAAATTGGCTAATTGTCAAAAATAATAAAAAAATTTCAGAATTTTCAATTTTGCATAATTGTCGCAAAATTTAAAAAAACAATCGATGGCAACCGTGAGTCATATAATTTGAAAGCTCTCCGAAAGACCTTTCAAACGCACCCACGCGCGTCTCTGTACGTTAATCTCTACCAGAGATATAAAACTTTGAAGTTAGACTGATTTTGCCCGTGGGGGGGTAAAAGTGGCTGACCGGCACTGTATGTACTTTTTTAAATAATGAAAATATTCAATACTGAAATAGCTTGGTTATCTTAATTCGTATAAACTGTGATCAATTTAAAAACTTTTTTCCAGTACAATCAGCTTTAATATTGTGGATAACATAATCGATGTCAATCCAGTTCTAATGTCAGATATAAATACAACACCTGATCTATGTAGTGGATTTCATTAATAGTGAAGAAACTGGAATAAAAGCTTATGTCCTTTTTCCTTCGGAACTTTATCAATAATTTTTTTCGTTTATGATTCCAAGTTTACGAGAAATTAAGAACGGAAAGTACAATCGTGATTTTATTTAGTATTTATGTAACGTATTTTGTAATACTTTAGATTTAGGCAGGAAGAGAATGTATTTAACGAGGCAGAAATATTAGCGATCAAATAATGTACTGTCGGTTTATTTTTATGGCATATATCATAGAAAGTTTGTCTAAATAGTTTTGCAATTCATGCCACGTCATAATGATCAGTTTATGGTATATTTAAATATACGGTTGAAAAATATTATCAGTTTCTTCATTCGAATTATAATTTATTTTTCAAATCTACGATCAATCGTTATTTTTAGAACTTAGACTAAAAACTTACGTGAGCCAAAATTCTTTCAAGATTTCTATATATTTAGATAACAACAAGTTACAAGTAGTAAATTTAATAGTCAATATAAATAGATAAAAATAAACTCAAGGCTAATTACCTTAATAGCATCGATGTTATTATACATATGAAGTCTATAATATTCTATTATCGTATTCAGAAACTTTTGAATAATATTTTTTATTTTTTAATTTAAGTTTTCCTAAAAGATTAAATTTGTATAAAGTTATAAATCTGTTTGCGAGTGCCTTCTTGTGTATCTAGATTTATAGAACAAGGTAAATCATCTTTCTCGTCATTTAAGTTTTATGGAGTTTATATAGTAATAGTATATAGTAACACCTTGAGTGTGATTTTATTAATTACTTTTTGTTGAAATTTTACAAAAATGACATTAACTAAAATAATTGTGTGAAATAATTTACGATTATGAAAATTTCTTAGTTCTAAGATTACAAAGAAGAGGTCTTTAGTTATTTTGAGATTTATTAGATCTTCGTCTATGTCTTTTATCAATCTCATTTTGAACAAACACCGGATCGTTCCAATACTGCACTTCACCACTACCATATACCAAAAAGATTAAATAGCTGAAAGTCCCAACTCCAAACATGATCCAAAATCCTAATGTCCATTCACTCAATGTCTGATTAGGTGTTATAATTCCAATGACGTAAAATCCGACAATTCCCGTCAATCCTCCCATTCCATTTGACAAAGCCATGATCGTGCCTGCATAATTTGGACTTAGATCCAAAGGATTTGACACAATACTAGGATAAGCGCAACCAAGAAGTCCCATTGATATGACGAACATCCCGACAACTAATGATCGATTGCATCCGGCATATGAAGCTGCAATGTTGAACGCTGCGGATACGGGCAACGCTAGAAAGGAGAAAAATTTCCGTACCATCGTTGTAGATACGTTCCTCTTGGAAATTAAATAATCTGCCAACCATGGAGTTGTACTGGCACCAATCCACATACATAAATACACGAGGGAGGTGTAATAACCATTGTTTTCGACAGAAAATTTCAATATACCACTCATATATTTGGGCAAATAGGTGATCATACTGAGGTTCAACCAACCAAAACCAATTGTTCCGATGGCTACTGCCCACACCGGCTTCGATACTATAATTTGACGCCACGGTAATGTTGGTGGGTTCACGCGTGTGTGCTCGTTCATACTTTCTTTCAAGTACTTCATCTAAAAATAATTCATTTCAATTATTTTTTATATTATAATCGCAATTGAATAATATATAGAAAATTTCTTTCGAGTATTTAATAATAAAAAATGTATTGTTTTCAAAAGTACAATTAACCTCTTTTTCAGTGACGAAAGGATGAACTTGAGGGCTATTGTAGCACAAAAACAACCAAAAAATGTACCATATAATACCAGGAATTCCCATCACATAGAAAACCAAAGGCCAACCGATACTAGAATACTGCAGAATCCAACCGGACACAGTCGTCGCAAAAATTGTGCCAATCATAAGCGAACCATAGACAAATGAGGCTGTTCTTGATCTTTCATTTGGTGGAACCCAATTGGCTAATAGAACATTGGTTGCTGGAATAGTGATGCCTTCACCAAGGCCCATTAACATTCTAAGAATAATTAGTGCTGTAAAGTTGCCAGCATAGACTGCTGCAGGTGTTAGGATCGTGAAAATCGCAGTGATTAAGATTCCAAAACCTAAAGTATGTTTGCCACCATAATTTTCGGCGATGTAACCACCTGGTAGATGCGTAAGAACATAGCCCCAGTAAAACGATGATAGAATCAAACCCTGGAAATGCAATCTATGCGGTAATGATACCGAGTGGATTTATAAAAAAGCTTGAAAAGTTTGTATGAGAAAAAGAGAATTTAATGTATCAAGATTATAATAAAAAAAAATACATACCAATTTTTTTTAATTTTGCATATTTTATTTACATTTACAGTTGGAAAACATATCTTTGAGAATATTGTTTTATTATCTATCTTGTGATTCAAAGAATTTGAAATTTCAGAGACATAGAAAGCTTGAGCAAGCTCTGTAGTCTTGATAAGGATTTTGGATTATCATACCTGAGTGTATTGGTCCCAATTGTAAGTATCCTTAGATGTATTCATGGAATTGGTATTCCCTCCATTGATACTGTTATTGCTCGGTAATGCGATATTGTCATAAGTACAAACATCGTTATGAGCGACAGTTATATTAGCATTGCTGACCATTTCTGTAATTGCAATCGATAGACAACTTCGCATTGCATATGCATTGAACAGTCCCAGAAAGCACATCAGAGCGAACACATATCTTTGTGGAATGTGGGAGCCTGTGTTAATTTTATTTTACCAATAATAAAGCTGAAATCAGCTGTAAAAGTCATCGTTGAAACCATAATAGTAAAAACACTTACACCATATGTTCACATCACTGAAAATTTCATTCACTGTCATTGTCATCGTGAACGGGAACAAGCAAACTGTATCACTCAAGTAACGCGTTGTACTGATTAAATAATTTTTCCCGTCAACTGATAAGATTGCAAGTATTATAATCACCTTTATTTGTTGAATCCGTTTTAATATTGATAAACAAGCATAATAAAATAGTTTATATCCTTATCGATCATATCTTTTATTTTTTTTCCAGAGCAAGTATACATGCATGTTTCAGACAAAATAGTTGAACGGATTCGTTTTAGAAAAGTTACTTCTCAATAAGTGTGTTTTCTTTGCTTCCAAACAGACTGCGTGCAATTGAATACGCACTTGAAATAAAGCTATAGTTAATAAAGCATAATAAAGATCAATTACTCTTTCTCCTTATATACGTTACTGCTGAATAAATATATTGCGACAAAAATAATGTAATTTTTCACGATTTTGAACACTTGTTAGTAGCTTGCTAAATAATGTTAATCAAACCGACGGAATGTTGTTGATCATGAAAAAAATTTTGCTCATGTATACGGTAATAAGATATTTGCATAAAAATAAGTACAAGCAGTAATACATTTGCTATTATGTACAGAATTTTTATGATTAGTTATAGTATAATATTCTGGATCTTCTCAATTTGATAATTGAACTTAAAGAAAGTTGAACAAATATTGTGGAAAATTCCACCGTATATTTAATGATTGTTGTAGCAAACGAGTTGAGGGAAACGAGAAGTTTGTGAATAATTTTGCTTATCTTTAGAACTCGTCAAGTATAATAGAATTAGTACGTTTGACAAATCGTAAATTGTAATTTATCCAAACGGAAATTACAATTACAATACAACAATCTAACTTTATTTTATAAACACAGGCCTCTTTTTAGTTAATAAAATCGGAATGCTTCAATTTAGGTAATAAAATCAGTTTTGAAAAAAAAAGTACCAAACATGACCAAATATTTCGAAAATTGTTCCAGATAGATAATCCGTTTTAATAATATATTAAATAATGATAATATAATAATAATATATAGAATTATTTTTAATCAAACTCAACGTTGAACGTGAGTTTAGTAAAAATTTGTAAATAATTGAAACTCAACTACAAAACTTAGAGTTTTGTAAATTAATTAATTATAAAATCTTAATCTTATTTATCGAAACATATAGTTGTCAAAATGGTCAGTTAATACACTTAGTTTTCTTTTAAAGTTTAAGTTGTACTTTTGAGTCTAAATTTACTTGAGTATTAGATACAAATTGTGAATGTAATTAAAAATATAATTAAAAAATCTAGAATTTTAAAACAATTTAAATCACATTTTATTAAAAAATCTCGCGAGTATGTGAAACTCAGGACAAAGATTCTAAAATATTTATAAGTCTTTCGAAAATAAGAAAAAATCAAACCAGTCGAAGACGATATAGGATAATGACTAGACTTTTAATAATATTGTGCGTTCCGCAGATTTAAAAAAACAAGTTGTTCTTGAAGTAAAAAATTAGTAATAATACCACATTTTTATACATATTTGATTATGTTGCCGGTAGTGATTCATAATATTTATAACGATATTATTAGCACCAGCGTAATCAGATAATATAGATCTTAAAAAATGTATCTATTAGAGTCACGGTATTATTGCCTCATAAATTCTAACTATAACCTATAATTAATTAACGATCTTTAACTTCCTTAGGAATAAGGTAAAATACTATTGATGATTTAACTGTGAATCTCAGTTTTAAAACAAATAACATTGGTTTTACACTCGATGATGGAATTTTGGGAATTTGAGCTTTTTACCAGGTAAGAATATAATTGTGATAATCTACACAAATATTTATATTAAAATGTTAGTTTATTCATCAAAAAGGTTGGAGAGATAAGTTAGGAGAAAAGGTAGGAAGAAAACATAGTTTATTTGGGTCTTCCGTAAGAGACCGCAGTGGGACGGTACGACAAAGGAGATCTCTAACTTTTAATCATGGAAACTGTATATGTTTTTATACTTTTAGTAGATAAGGTTTATTTTTAAACTCGAGAGCTACGTATCTATTATTTGTATTACTTTTTAATTAAGCATGGTTGCGTGCGTCGATTGAGAATTATAAGTTACGTATTACTACTAACTTTTTTATTTTAAAAATTTATGGTCGAGGTTTTTCTAATTAAGAATACATGATGAAGTACACAATCACTCTCGACCTTGCGCTGTGAAAAATTTGTAAATTTTCCAAGCCCAAGCTTTCTTAGTACGCTTTTTCGAAGTCTTTAAAATATTAAGTTTATCTTGGTCTAGAAATCATTGACTTCAATAAATTGTAATTGCAAAAATAATTTCAATATTTAGTAGTTTTTAGATTTCAGAAGAGAATCTATCAAAGATTTAGATGTTGACTAGTTTTTTTATTTGTTTATTTTATAATTTTTAATTAGTACGAGTTTCGGGTCATTCTAATACTGTATTTCTCCAGTGTCGTAGACCATGAAAACGCACAGCCATAAGCACCATCATATCGAACACCAACAAGTCAACTATATATATTATTAGCATACTTCAAAATTAATCACGATACCACAGTCGTCAAAATTGTGCTAATCATTACAGAAACGTAAATAAATGAAGCAGTTTCGTTTTATCTTGTGTATAGTCCATTCGGCTAATAAAACATTGACCTAGATAAATCACTAAATGAGTCACACCTTCACTAAAGCTCATGAGTATCCTAAGAATAATCAATGCTGTTGAATCTCCAGCGTCTACTGCAATCGGTGTTAAGAATTACAGTGATAAAGATTCCAAAACGTAAAATGTGTTTGTCATTATATTCTCAGCTATAAATGCCTCTGGCAGAGGAGTAAGGAATATAGTAAAATTAAAAAGAATTATAAAATAAGAAATTCTTAATAGAATGACGAAAATATCATATCCTATAATCAGATAAGGATGTTGACACAATGTCTGAACAGAGCAAAAATTGTTTCTTCATTGTCGAAACGTCGAAACAATGATACCTGGGTATACTCGCTCCAGTTGTAAGTTTCCATTATTGTATTTGTCTACTTGTAACAACCGTTAATGTCACTACTGAGTAATGGAATATCGTCGTAAGTACGAGTATAATCATCGACCATTCTTTCCGAAGATGAACTGATCATTTGTGTAATGGTAATTAATAGGTAACGTCACGTTTCGTACCAATTGAATAGTCCAAAAAACATATACCTAAATGGAATGTTGAAGTCTGACTTTGTTTTGAATAACAATGAATGATAAAGTAACTGTCAAAGATGCTGTTGACAATGGATGTGGACACCATTTCTTGATACAAGTGGAAACCTCTGTTGTTGTCATTGTGAACGATAATGTGTTCTTCTTTATCCAATGTCTTTAGCAGTACTGAGTAAACATTAGCGTATAAATCAATAAGATTGTGAATAAGTGATAGAGTTATAATTAGAATTTCGTTAGTTTACATAAGTATTAGTTGATAAGCACACTTATAAATATTTATGTGTTTTAAAGAACACGAAAACAATGAAACATTGATAAGCGGTAAACAATGCATAATTTTATTTTGAAAAGTGTAAATTATTTCCAATACGTTTACTCGTAAAAAGATTGGTGTTATTTAAGAAACAAAAGCAGTTTTGAGAATTGGAAGATTTTAGGGAAAAGAAATAATAAAATTTTTACAATTGAAATTAATGATCTCTTTGATAATTTTGATTTAATGAAAAATAAATATTTATATTGCAAACGAACATCAAGAAATATTCTCATTATACCAAAGGCCAAATATTTTTTTTTTCTGTAGTGGTGGTTCAAAATCAATGCAAGTGTTTATCAAATAAAAAACCGTTTAAATTTTTAATAAAGAAATTCAGTGGATTCAGTTTTTTATCTTCTCAAGTAAAATTATCAACTAAGTCGTCAATTATTTTTTCTCGTAACGATATTTTAAAAGCTCATGCTTTTTTGAATAACTTATTACAATATAATATAACTAATTTGTTTCATATCAAATTTTAAAAACATTTTCAAATTATGCGGTTAAGTTAATACAAATATTACAAATGAAACCAAAGTATCCTGTAATTTTTTATTTCAGAATAAATACATATTTTTCAAGATACAGAATTTTAGAATTTTCAAAATTCTATTCGAGTCGACAACCTTTCCCAGTCTCATATCAGGTCTCATGCCTTTTATTTTTAGGCAATGCTATGCTGAAAATAGTTCGCTGACAAGTCAGTACAAACGCGAGGTTGGTGCGTTCACATGTGAAAATCTTGAAGATCGTTAGAAAATTGTTGTTACGTTAAATAGAGCATACAAGTTGTGGCTTCGAATATGATATTTTTATCATATTGACTAGGTATTGTAATTTTTTTCCATTCCTTTGAAGAAGTTTGAATATACGTAAGGCGTGTGCTTGGCACGGGAGTTTTATCTGTTTTCATTAAAAGAAGGATTGGTTTGTATATATAGATACACATAAGATAAATAAACTATAAAAGAGGTTTTTAGCTCTCAAGATCTTTACCATGAGTAACTACGAGTATGTGGTATACTAAAAAGAGGTGAATAAACTTTTTTTTATTCCTTATTTGATATTAATCTCAAAACGTTTTCTGGCTGTTTGTTTCATAGTAATCCTATGTTTTGAAAAACTTATATAAGAGCTTTTGCAAACATAATTCACTTATTAGTTAGTTGTAATATAATTCACTTTGTAATGTAGAAGAAAAATAATTATACTTTAAGTTAATAAAATTTAGTTGAAGAAACTTGAATTGCTACTAAAAACTAGTGGAATAGTTAATTTTGAATTAATTTAGTTGCATGATTCACTTTCGATGTTAATTTGTATAATGCTTTTATTATAAAATTGCTCAGAATAGGAATTATTATTATCACTTTTAATTACGATTACTTCAAAATAAATGTTATATGTATTTTTTATTTAGTGTCTCCATATTCAATTTTTTACATTTGTGCTCGAAAATGTGAAATTCATTTATTCTTATGTTCAACTAACGTAGGAATATTTAATAAAATTGTGTGCACAGATGACGTAGATAATTATTGATAAATTTTATTACAATATTATTCATATATACATGAGTCTGAATAAACGTAATGACAATATATACCAATTGTCATGTTATAATTGTTCCGGTAAGGAAATTATGCTCTGTATTAAATTAACCACAGTAATAGAAGTATTTACAAGTTATTTTAGAATAAAAATTAAAAAATAATAATAAAAGTAACAAAAGCCGCGTAACATTGACGCCAATCGTAATTATACTAAATCTTTGCCTGACCAGTTTTCCGCCTTTCTTTTTTATCGATCTCAGCTTGGACGAATCCTGGATCATTCCAGTATTCCACTTCACCACTACCATATGCTAAAAAGACTAAATTGCAAAAAGTCGCGACGGCGAATAAAATCCAAAACACCAATCTCCATTCAGCCAGTGTCTGATTAGGTGTAAGAACTCCAATGATATAAGGTCCGGCAATTCCCGTTAACGCCGACAGTCCATTAGTCAAAGCCATAATGGTACCGGCATAATTAGGACTCAAATCTAGTGGATTAGTCATAACGCTTGGATACGCACTGCCCATAAGTGTCATCGATAAGACAAACATCGCGATAACTAATGTTCGATCGCACCCTGCATAGGAAGCTCCGACGATAAATGCCGCAGAGATGGGTAAAGCAACAATAGAGCCAATTTTCCGTACTATCGTTGTAGATACATTCCTCTTTGAAATAAGATAGTCTGCTAACCAAGGCGTTGTATTGCCACCAATCCACATACATAAGTAGACAAGAGAGGTGAAGTAACCATTGTTCTCTACGGAAAATTTTAAGACGCCACTCATGTATTTAGGTAAATCGGTGATTATGCTGAGGATCGACCAGTTAAAACCGATCAACGCTACAATTACTGCCCACAGCGGTTTCGACGCCAGAATGTGACGCCACGGCACTGCTGGCGGCTTCTCGTGCGTGTGTTCGTTCATCCGTTCTTTTAGATAGTCTACCTGTTGGCATTACAATCGAATTATGTAATGAATCATTATTGCGAAAATCGATTATCTATTTCAACGGATTGCAAATGCGTCTTGATGAACAAATATAGTGTAATTTGATTATAATTCAATTGATAATTTTTGAATTGTTAAATAATCTGAATTATTTATAAATAACACGTGTTAACAACAGTTTTATGCTTTATGTGTTACTAGACTAATTTGCGTAACTAGGCTTCTTTGTGTAACTATAAGCTAATTTGATTTCGAATTGATGTGACGAATGATGGCACTAATGTGCTTCAGAATAAAATGTAATTTTGATTATGAAAACTCGAAGATAGCTCAAGCTACGATGTAATCGAAGTCAGTTTCATTTACTTTCTTTTTATAGCAACAACTGATAATATGAAACATCTTTAAGTCTTTTATCATTCGTTATCACGCAGGCTACAATCCTACAGCGCAAACCAATCAATGTAATTGCTAATTTTTATCGAATTATTCTTAAAATTACATTCTTCTCGATGACAATTTAATTGAAAGTTATCAGTCATTAACAATAGAAACATTAAAAAAAAGTTCTGAAAGTAGTTGTTAACAAAAGGAGCCCAAATAAATTGGACTTCTAATTATAAAATAGTTTATAACACTATAGCTATCCATCAAATATACCACAATGCATTAAGACGTCATTAGAAATTATTATCGTTGATTTCATTTATCGTTTTTCACCATCTACTTGATTTTATTTTAGTTTTCCAACGTTTTCGTCTTCAACACTTCTAGCACAATAAAAAATACTCATAATTATATTTAAAAAACCATAACGTACCTCCTCTTGAGTTATAAATGGATGATCTTGTGGGCTGTTATAGCACAAAATTAACCAGATCAAGAACCAAATAGCACCGATGACACCCATCACATAAAACACCAAAGGCCATCCAATACTAGAATACTGTAGAATCCATCCAGATACCATAGTCGCGAAAATCGTTCCAATCATTGCGGATGCGTAAACAAACGAAGCGGTTCTTGATCTCTCTTCTGGTGGTGCCCATTTAGCTAAAAGAACGTTGATGGCAGGGTAAGTGATGCCTTCACCGAGACCCATAAGTATCCTAAGAATAATCAATGCTATCGAGTCCCCAACATAGACTGCTGCTGGTGTCAAGATCGTGAGAATCGCAGTGATTAGAATCCCAAAACCTAAAGTGTGTTTACCACCATATTTTTCAGCTATGAAACCACCTGGTAGATGAGTAAAAATATAACCCCAGTAGAATGATGATAGAATCAGACCCTATAATTACAAAATTAATATTAATTAAAGAAGTTAGAATGTTGAACCAATATCTGAGAAAACAAAACAATACCTGAGTGTATTCACTCCAATCGTAAGTTTCTCTCGTTGTATTTGCGTGGATAACACCACTACCACTGTTATCGGTACTGCTTTTACTGGGTAATGGAATATCATCGTATGTACAAGCGTCGTCATCTATAACTGCTTCCGAAGACGAACCGACCATCTCTGTGATAGCAATCGATAGGCAACTTCGCATCGCGAATGCATTGAACAGTCCAAAGAAGCACATCAGGGCGAATACATATCTTTGAGGAATTCTGGCGCCTGAATTTTGGTTTTTGTTTATGATAATAATAAAATTAAAATTAAGTGTTGAAGTTGCAAGTTAGAAAATATCAAAAAACACTTACACCATTTTTTCACGTCAGTAAAAATTTCAATCACTCTCATTGTCAAAATAAATGGGAATAGGGAACGATATCAGTAGGTTAAATGGTTTGTGAACGATTACGCGTGTTTCACTGTCTGATGGCTTTAGTAATACTGACTAAGCGGCAAGCATGCTTTACAACTTTATATTACTTCACGTGTTCTACTAAAGAAACGCGAGAGCGGGAAAGAGGATAAAAAATGTACACACGTTTGTTGCTTTGCCAAAGTTTGTTTAACGTTTGAGTAGCTTTTAAATTTTTTTTTTTTTTTTAATTTTTCGATAAGAAAGAATGTGAAACAATGTATTAAATTTTCGTTCATGTTCATGTGCACGATGATACGCAGGTTTTCAATCGGTTACAAGACTTGACATTGCGTGTGGTTTCAAGGCTTACTCATCAATGTTTGCATATAAATGTGCGTGAAAAGTTTGGAATATATTAAATTTGCTATTATGAGAAATTTTATTCTTTTTCTAGTATTCCAGTAAATGACTGACTTTTGCATATCTATTTCTTTTATTTTTGTGGCATGCCTTGCATTGAAAGCAAAAAATATTTGCAATTAAATGAATATATATTGTAAATATTGTACAATTACAAGTTTCGTACTCTGCTGTATGCAACTTGTATTGTATCGGACCATAAGTTTTCTGAACCTTTCAATAACAGCCAGCTAAATTATTATAATTGAACTAAGAAATAGTTACTAGAAATTTTCTAAAAAATTAAACTGTTTTAAAATGAAGAGCAAACACATGACATACTAGGTGATGACTGGCTACATTTGTTGGTTGAGCGTTTATCTTATCTTTAAAAATCATTATGTACAAAAGTCGGAAAACTTTATAGAAATAGCGTAACTGATAGATCTTGTAATATAATTTTTTCAAGTATATACACTCGATTCCACATAAGTGATACTCTACAACTATTCATTTTTGGAGAAATTGAAATACCTCCAAAAGAAGTGATGGAATTATAATTTTTAATTTTTATGAGCTCGAAATTTTTCTTATTTTTTATTATCTTTTATCACCATCACTGTCCAAACGTCAATTAAGATAAACTAAATAACCCATTGATATTATTTGAGAAAAAAAACGATGTAACGAGTTGATTTGAATCTATTTGTGGTTTCCTCACGTATGTGTCAAAATCATTAAATGCAATAGTAACCGTGTCCTACGGCTTCATTTATGTCATAGACACTCACAACTCAACACTCTGCTGTGCACTGGTTCCATGTTGTCATGAATGATCTGCATCAATTTCCATCACGTTTTATATGAATTCTAAGATTCAACAGTTCGACGAACGTTCACCGACGTTGAGCGCAAGTGTCATTACTTTGACAGCCAGGAGCAACTTTAAGCCAGACTGTTCTCAACATCCTTGGAAGCATTGCCGCTAACGCTTTTCCTCAGTTCCTTGAGCACATGGCAACCGACAGCATCGTGAGTAGTGCAAGACAGCTCACGGCGAGAGCCAGCGTTTGCCGTTAAAAATACAAATGAAAGCATTGTTATTGCTTCTGTCAGAGCATCTGCCATGTGAATCGTTTAGAGGTAGAGTAATTAATTAAATGTTGAAATACGTCGGTCACAAAGCAAATCATTTGTCATTATCATTTCAAATAACATCGTGATAATTGATTTAGCTCTTTTCAGCTTTTTCTACTTTGCCTATCGTTTGTATTAAGTTTCAATGCTGCAACACAATTTTTCATATCTTTATTTATCTCTATTGTTCTTTGATATTTAATATACCTCTTATACAATAATTTACAACGGAGTATGCAAAATGTGGAATGTTTCTTACTGAATAGAACGTGATAAGTAATTGATTTACGCTATTGCATTTTTTACAAACTTTACTGAATTTTTGATTGTGATTAATGTAACTGCGTCAAAAGTTTTTAACTGCATTTAAATCAGATATACACGGTCAATTTATAGTTTAATTAAATAATCACGGGAAAATTGAAAACCCATTCTTTACACAGTCGTCCCAAAAATTACAGAAAGCTCAACAACCTATTAATCAAAGGAGTCTCGTGTCCATCACCGAAGTCTGTATTCTTAGATGATGCCAAAATTAAGAATTTCGTATACGCTTGAATTCATGCGTTAGCGCATGTAAGAATGAAGAACTTTGTTTTTCATTACCAGGATGATCTTGAATTTAAAAAAAAAATAATCCTTTCATAATCCTTTTTCGACATTGATTACTAAGTTTGAAATGATAATTAGCTTGTAATAAATCGAGATGATTGAACTGCAAGTTTTTGAAATGGTATCAAAGTTTTGGTGTCGGTGAGACTTTATATTTACTCGCTATAATATTACAATGTTCTTGATGAGATTATCACATCTAATAAAAGCTTTTCTTCAAGAATAATGACTAGTTTGTAAGCTGAAAATAAACAGATTTCGGCGCTTGAGTGAAGGTTTTTTAAATGTGATAAATGCAAATGGCTGCATCAACAAGGATACTTTTATGTTTTTGAGGGTTTTAGTTGTACGCGTGCATGAGAGAAGTGTTTGCTTCTAGAATGTTGATTTCGCCTTCAAATTTGCGTATGCAATATTTAAAACGTGTTTCACTTGCGTGTCTAGCAATAATTCGATATTATTAGTTGAGAGCTTGCAGGTAGAAAATTAAATTTTTTTTCCCAAATGCCGAAGAACCAATCAAGAAAGCTGACAAATAGCAAACAGTAATTATTCTTGAAAATATTAATTCCGAAAAGCGCACTCATACAAAGTTTTGTACGAAACAAAAGGAATTTAAGTGAAGAAAATTTCAATATTTTCAATTTGTTCTCCAAATAACTATTTATAATCTATACTATCATCGATAGAAAATAAGAAAGCACTTTAGTTCGTTATAGCTATTGCGATAACAAGCGAATTGCATTAACAAGTCACAAGAATTTTTAACGTTTCTGCTAGGAAAATCATATGAAGGCCACTGCCGACCGAAACCGTTTTTTTTTTCTTTTTCTTTCACATCCGCTTGAAAGTTATTCGGAGCTTTCGTCATTGTGCTATACTGAAGCTAATTGCTCACGGAATTCCTTTCGTGCGTGGACCGTGCCACGCGACGATCTTTGTGCCAAAAGTGGCCCGAATGGTGCGCACATCCGACCGCGTGTGTCTTTCCTTTGCGAGGTCACTGAGATTTTTGTCATTTTTTTATTTGTGAACGAGAGGTGAATAGAAGATCCGAATTCATATTTTTGCTCTGACTTTGCTTGGATTGAATGACAGTAGTCTAGTCATTTTCAGAATATGAATAAATGTTGCCTCTTGATAGTATAATCTTTAGATTTTGTATAAATTTGAAATTATAGAACTGTATAACTGTGATTTTATCAGATAAACGATATTATTTTGTATATCTCTTTAAATATTAATGGTATATATAATGATAGAATTCTATAATAAAAATAATTCATTTTGTATTCATCTCCTTGATGACTATTATCAAATAGTGTCGTTTATGTAGAAGAAGTAAGAAATTTAGTTAGATAGATTTCATTTTAATCTAACTGAATTTTGTACTTAGATTTTATTAGATGCTATTTATTTTAATGGGGATTATTTTGTTCTTTATTGAGAATGAACAACGATAACGAATGTTGTCAAAATATTTAAGATGTTATAAAAGCTATCTTGAAAAATATGATAGCTGTAATTATTAAACCCGAATATGAAGCACAAAAATATTTAGCCGATCAGCTATCGTGGTCTAAGATAACGAAAACCGTTGAATACCGCCGCCGTCCCTGAGAATAAATGCAAACGTTTTCCCGACGAATCATCATTCTCTGAGATTCTTCCATCTCCTTAAATTAAGCACAACCACCGAGATAGTGACGCAAAACGAGTGAAAAACAGTATTCTAATTTGGTCGCGCAAGCTCTTTACTTCCGGACATCGCGCGCGCTCGCCTTTTACGGGCAGCCCGCACATCCGCCTCGCGCTCGCGCGACAATAATTTTCAGGATGAGTAAGCCTTTTTCTGCATGCGAAGCGCGTCTCATACATTATTGCCGATGATGTATGTGCGTTCGCGACAAAGCGAAAACACACGCGAGGTATTTCTGGGCAACTTCCGAACTATTCTCGTCAAATGCCTTTTCCACTATGCCGTTTATAACGACGATGACGGCGTTTGAGAAATTTTGGAGCTTTCTCACACGATTTGCTTACTCACAGAGCGGAGTTTACCCACCCATTGCGGAATTATTATGTGAATTGCGATGCTCTTTGATGCGTCACGACTTTATTTTGGGTATGTTGTTATCCGATAAAGGGTGATGACGCGATCTTGTCTTGCTATAAAAATAGTTATGGGTTTGATTATTATTTTTTACAATATGATTTAGGGATATTTAATACCATAAAGTTCACTGCTAAAACAAAGATAACGCAATAAATATGCTTATAAAGAGTTTTCTTAACTATTCAAATGTTTACTCTTGATCTTTCCTAATCTTCATCTGATGGGAGGGGAACTAAATCTAAATCAAGATTTGACGTAAATCCCGAACGATACAAATATCGAGGGATATATTAGTGCAATCAAAGTTTTGACGTCGTTGACTTGTGAAAATAAATAAAATGAGAAAAGTGTATAATAAATTGATTTTTTATAGCTCAATCTGGCAACAACTTTTCATCTCTCATATCAAAATGCAATTACATCTCACAAACAGAAAGTCATAACATAAAGTTACTCTATTATTAAAAAAATATGTGAATTGTATTCATTTTGAGAACCATAAATACAATTAAATGTAAAACATAAAAAATGTATAAAACGTTGTTCACTAAATTGCCAAAATTCCACTCAGAAAGAAAAAAGTTGTTCTTGGCTCCTGCATCCCGTGCAATTAGTACAAAACTTGCTGCAGCTTTGACGCGTGACGGCAGAAAATTATTATCGATAGTATACACGCGTAAAGAAGTAAATCAACGAATGGTTAACACGAGTAGTCACGTGATCTTCACATGTATCGTCGTTTTTCTTCCCGAAAATCCGTTTTGTGGTGCCAAATTTGCGAATTTCGAAATCGGTTAAAGCACATCGACTTTCCTCGATGTGCTTTTCATTCATATATTTTACGTACCTTCTTGTCTTTGGTAATGGTGAATTTTCTCGACAATGCGTTTCAAAAGAGAAATTTGATTTTGTCGTCAATTTTGTAAGCTATTAAGCTTTTATCACCTTAATATAAGTTATCAAAGCCGTCGATACACGTAGAATTTCATTGACAATAATTTATATGATTGCGAATTTTGATGAAGAAGAAAAATTAGGAAGAATTATGTTCTTTTCTGCGATTAATTACAATTATTTTCTTGGAAAAAACGGAGATAAAATTAATCTGTCGGAACATAAAAAATCAAAATAGCTTATCAATCTCAGAGCTTGCATTCTTTGTTTGCCTTACCGGCTGTGAGACTTTTTCTATTGGATAATTCTATGTTGTGAACAAAAAAAAAGAAAAAAATCCGAACGATTAGTCATAAACTATCTCAGTTTAAGAAGACAAGCAAAGTTTGACGCTCTCTTTCAATGTCGATTCTCTTAGCTTCTTCTTTTGCCAGAAAGCGTGTGTTTAATTATATTTAAGGAATTTCCAACACTGCGGGTTCGTCAGATTATAAAAGCGTAAAATTAACCGAATGGAATGTGAATACCGATTGTCGAGATTTCTGTCAGCTTGCGACGTTTTGAGGGAGAGCTTTGTTCGATAAAAGGTCAGCGATTTATTTGGTTTTCATTCTTTTATGTAAAGCTGGTAAATTTATGTTGAATTCTACTGTGCGTAAAATAATATTAGGGATAAATAATAAATTATAATGCGTTGTGAATTTTTGTTGATATTAACATTAAAACAATTAGTAAGAATTACGATACGATATGTACTTTTGATTACTTTAGGTCTAGTGGTATTACCAACGTACAAGAATAATACAAAATCGTATAAACTTCATCAGTGAGATATTGTATACATAACGATTAGTTATATAATTGTTAGATTAAAGCAATAAATTTGATTTTCTTTCGGGATAATTTACTTTGAAGATTCATTTATTTACAATGATTTCTTCACAATAAATTTTTATTTTTTCACTTCACACGAACTATATAAATTGATATTATGAATGCACCGATCTTCCATAACTAAAGGGATAAGATAGTCAAATATATTGGTTTTCGACTCGAAATTTACGTCAAAGTAACAACAGACTTGAAAGATTGCTCCACATTTGTCTATTCAACCTCGTGTTTTCATGCAAAAATGACAAATAAACAGAAGAACGAATAGAAAATGTAATAATTTAGCAACAAGGAAAACGAAAGAACCACTTGTTAAGTACCAATGAGTCAACGAATACGATTCGCAGCGATAAAGCTCGAAAATTTCGTGTGGTATAAGAATTCTTAGAACCGTCATCTCAAGCCCTCAAAAATTAAAAAGAAAACGAAATGCTTTCGCTTAACTGAAAAATCGCTGGCGTGACAGTGATTCACGCGTTGAGCGTCTAGGCCCGTCGTTGTTTGAAAGACGAATGGTTTCGTCTCGATATGATCGTCTCATCGTTTACGTTTGAGGTAAAAAGGCTTCTGGCATGGTATGAATATTGGCTCGGAAAAGCGAAAAGTGCTGCTGTCGGGAAGAGAGGGAGGCTGAGGACGTATAAAAAGCACCAGCCACACTCCAGGCGTCGTTTACTTGCGACTCGCGCGCTTAACTTGAACAACCCAAAACTTAGTGGGGACGACAACGGAGTTATACTCTTTTCGAATCTTTCTCATATCTTTTCAAATAACCACACGCAGTTGGACAGCAGCAAGAGACAGTAGTTTATTGTTAGTGTTTGTGTCGGTGCCAAACGATTTGGACAAAATATGTCGTCTCTCATGCTGGTGAGTTGTTCGCTATATGTATATTAGACAATAAGCCACGCATTCTGTTGCATTCTCAGAATTTCCGTTGCCCGGAATTTTTTCCAGTTATAAATTATTTCGCTCGATCCTTGGCATCATGATTTAGTAATTTAATTTTTCTTTCTTCTTTTTTTTACGGATCTTTCTTTTGATCTTGCTTTTAATCATTTTTCATCTGAGCGGTAAGAGAAAAGCAATACATTCAAAAGAAAAATATGACGATTTTTAGTAAATATCATAATTTGTCATTATCGTAGTTATAGAATTTTATTAAACATCTGTTTTAATATTCAATCTTTAATATTTAACATTCAATCTATTTTAATATTACAATTCTTGGCGCGATATGAACTGACAATTGTTAATCGAAGCCATCATGAAATGCTAAGTCGCAACAATCCAGCTTTTGCATCCTGCTTACCGAAACTTTCCGCTTCTGACCGAAGTCTGATCACCGCGTGCGCATGATAACCGAAAAAAAGGCGTCGCGTCACTGATTCACGTGCCGTGTGAATGAAAAAGAATTTTTGACAATTTGCCATAAATCGAGCTTTTATGGCCAGGGCCACGGTCGAGATCATCAGCATCTGGTGGCTGTCCAACTATCTCACTTTCTTGCACCCCATTCATCATCGCTATGTGCGCAAAAAGTACGTGCGATTGTGTCGCAATTCGCTCATGAAATTTTTCGTTAAGTAAGAAACAATAAAATAAACGTTGCATTTGTAACGAAAATTTCCAATTCACTTTGCCACAGTGCAGTCGTGGATCGATCATTGTCGATCACTAGAAAGCTAGCCTGTAGAGCACAGAGCTTTTCAGCTTCACAAACTTCGAATGAATTAGCCGATTGCTGCTTTGTTAGATAACTGCGGAAAAAGAAACGTAGCGTATCTTTGGCTGCAACGGGGTTAATCTTATAGCTGCTGAGAAGAGAGAGAGAGAGAGAGAGAGAGAGAAAGAGAGAGAACAAAGAAAAGAAGAGTGAATCAGGCGCTGTAAGTGCAGAAGAAAGCTTCTGGGCCAAAAACTCGATATATACGTACAGCATGCTTGGAGAGTGGATTGCGGCGGTGACATCTTGTGTGCTGTTGCAGTGCGTCGTCGTTGTTGCGGTCCGAGAGTGGCGTCTTGTGTGTGTGGATTAAGAAGCCTCGCAGTGAATGTCGCGCGCGCTGCTCGCTTGCAAGCTCGTCAGTGTACTCGTGAAGCTTGGCTCATCGAGGCACACGACCACCTCGTTAACCACCTCCGCCTTTTTTACGCGCTCCTCGCTCTCGCTGTTCTCCAATTCGCCACGACGCTTCCCGGCTTGAATTTGATATTGAATCTTTGCAAGTGGAATATTTCGCTTTTCAGTTTGACAATTTAACAATTACGTTCATGGGGCATTTTATTTTCTATATGTTGCAGGAATCGTTGAGCGAAAAAGTGGCCATGTTTGATCAGCATGCCAACAAACACATTAATAGCCAGTCTAAAAATCCATTTAGCTCTGGCTTGAACTTGCCAAAACCGACCTTCTCGAAAGAGGAGTATGGAAGGTAAGTGCGTTCTGCCTGTCAATTATTTTCAGGAACAGGAAGTTGTCCATCTCCCCCCCCCTCTCTCTTTTAAATTTCAGTGAAGTTTAAGGAGGTCGTTTATGTAGTTCCTTTAATTGGATTTCCTTTGACTAGCATATTTATACTTCTATTGAAAGTAGCTTAAATTTCACATAATCGATTTTCAATACATGCACATATCTATAAAGTCGGTTCCCTTCAAGATATCTCAACCGTTATACGAATTTTTAAGCTCCACGACACTCCTGTCAAACAGAAAAATAAATCAACTCACGTTCAAACCGTGTATCAAGCAAGACCAATGTCAAAAAACAAGTCTGCCAAAGCAAACACACTAATACGAGGAAAAAAATCCAAATTTTGCAGGCCGGCCGCAGGTTCAATGTCAGACATCAGAGGTCGCAAGGCAAATGCTCACATCCTCAAGGAGATTCTTGAATTGTGCGAAGTACTTGATCAGAATGGTACCCCATGCCGTGACCATCCAGAAATATTAGCTATTTCCTTTGGTGATCTGTTCAACCTTTACGTGCACATAAACGACAAACTCGTTGGTCTTCTACTTCGCGCTCGCAAGCAGAAACTCGTTGACTTTGAAGGCGAATGTCTCTTTCAGGTACGTTGTGTTCTATTTATAGTAGAAACTGTTGCTTCATAAGTCGATAGATTAACGCAGTCGGTAAAGGAGAATTCTGCTAGGAAAAGCTCGGGGAGTTTCTGAAAGCTCGATTATTGATATAGACATTTGCTTCCTTCTCATGTGAATATATACCAAACGATAAAATTCTCTTGTTTTTCAGAGGAGGGACGATCACGTGCCAATTTTCCTACTGAAGCCAATTAAAGAAATCAGAGAGGATTTCCGGCAGAGGCTCGATGCGCTTCATAAGGAGATCCCAAAATCGCCTAGTTAATACATGTATAAATATATATCAAGACTTTGTTATTTTAATATCGTTCGAAAGTATTGTTAATTAATCGACGAAAGCTTTTCATCAAATTGAGAACAAAAACTGCGTTTTTTACGTACGATATCAATTTTTATGTACAGTTCCACGATTAATTTATTTGTGAAAGTGAATTGATTATTGATAGGCTGAATGTGAAGTTTTATCAGAATTGGTTATGAATCATTGCAATTTTTATTTGCAAATTCCGTTGTAAATAGTAGAATGCCTGGTGATGGACGAGTGAGAAGTTAAAAAATTGTGATATTGTGGAGAAATATTCAGGCGTATAAATAACAAATATTTCTGTATGAGTAGTCTTTAAAAAATGAGAAATTCTTCGCTAGTTATTCTTCCAAAGATATAATAGAAAATTAGATAAAATAGGTGAATAAATAAATAGTATTTTTCAAGATATCGCATATAATTATTTTATATATACAGTTACTTTACAACGCACATGTTTAGTGACACGGTAGCTCATATTTCCATCGTAATATTTTTTCTTTATAATAAGATAGCGGCAGTGCCAGCGCAATACCTAAGTTTTTTCTTGTAAGGATACATAGTATAAGTATGCATACTAACAAAGTAGAAAAACTTGTCTCAAATGGTAATAAAACTTAGACTCGGAATTTTAGAGTATATTTAATATATGCTCTTCTTTTCACAATCGTTTATAGAGAAATAACGTAAAAAAATTGATTTTCGATAGATTAAATTTGTTCATAACTTATGTTTCAAGATTGATCATTGATATGTCGATATTGATAGAAACGTTTAGAAAAGCATCATCAAATTCGTGAAGGGCAGTTATTTTTCGGAAAATTCTGCCTCTATTTAGCTACTTTTTGGCAGTATAGATAAGAAAATTTATACTTTGTTCAGATATATATTTTAGTTTATAATTGTAACAATTTCATTCTTCAAATTTTTTCTTTCTTGTATATAATACATATTTCTAATTCAAGTTTTTAAAGATAATGATAAAGTTCTTTGGTCCAATAATTAAAAATTTATCCAATAACCGACGTCTTCATTCTCAATTTTGTCAGATTTGATATGTTAGTGAGCTGAGTTCATTTCGTACAGATATTGATTCTGCATGATTTGATTCTATACGACTTTTAAAATTTTGTTTATTTAACATAATGGTATTTTATTGACCAAAAAATATAAAATAGTATTCATTAGGAAAGAAAATACTTCTGAACATACAAACTTTCTAGAGAAAATTCGATTAGAAAATAGCTGGCATAAAGTATTCTATATAAAATATTTTTAAGAAATAAATAATTATTTAAAAGATTTATATGTTTAAAATTTTAGGCATTATTAAAAATATGATCAAATTGTGTAGAATTGGTATCTGTATATAGAAACGAATTCAGCCTGTTAGCGAAGTCCATTATGTTTCTTTTCGTATCATTTTACATACTTAACATTGTAAAGATAAATAAAAAATTGAAACTTATGTCCAATATGAATAAAAAATTGTTCATTTATTTAAAAAGCGAGTAAAAAAGTATTGCAAAAAATTGTTCTCCAAAAATTGACTCGATATGTACGTACATGTTCTTTACATGTTAATAACAAATGATATTGGAAGAATCACTCAATTCATTTGGCTAAATACTAAAATTGCTTTTTTCTGTGATCCACTTCATTTTTTATAATAGATTCCAATCGATAACTGCGTGTTTGAACACTGTGTATGATATACTTATTGCATGAAATAGTACACACTAACTTTCCCTTCAATTTTTAAGTTGGATTATTAACAACGATAGCAAGTGATAAAATTTTGCAACATTTCAATTTGCGGTCCATGTGATGTATATATATGAAAATGTTTTTACATGTTACTGTACAACGCATCGTTTATAAATATTTTTTTTTGTCCTAACGACAAATGTATATTCTTCACTTCGTGTATTATTTATATATAATTTCCTTATTTTCGTTTTCTGCGCTACAGTAGGCCAGTGATTATACAGTTTTCATTTGTGAAGAACATGCAAAATACAGAAAAATTCACTTTTCGAACGTTATTAGCCCACAGACATTTTTCATTTGCAATGGGAAGAAATCAATCATCAGTAAAACTTTTATTCAGTTCTTCTTTGTCAAAAAAGCAGAGTTAGGTCGAGTATTTATATTCATATATATCGTATTTCTTACACGTATCATAATATTTGTGTTTTTCTTCGTTCTGGGACACGATTGTGTCGAACAAACCTTCTATATAATATTTATATTAACTTAAACTTATAATATGTATGTACATTTTTCAGGAAACATGCCACATGTTCTTTTTCAACATTCATCTCAGTCTATGTGTGAGTCTCATTATATATTGCATTCTATTTTGTAAGACAGGATAGCCGATCAGCGGTTAGTTTTCTCTTTGTTTCTACATATATAATATTTTCTTTTGTACAAGATGTTTCAAATTATCTGGTTTGTCTCATATAATAGCATTATTAGAAAAGGTTTCCCTTTCAAATTAAATATATTGCAGGTACAGTAATTAGAATATATTGCAGATAAAATAATTAGAAATAAATTGTTATACGTTTTTCGGAAATGTTTGCCAATGAACGGCTGGACATTGAAACTTCTCGTACAAGCGTTATATACTTCATTTATAGGCGCCTACACGAATGCTTTTACAACGTGGAATGTGTACAGTGCACGTCAATCATGTTTTTTTTATTTACTATTAACAAATCTTGTCTTTCATTCAGCGTTATAGCGATTATAACATTGAAAAAAGTCTCTATGATTGAGAACAGCTGCTCGCAATGGACATGATTCGTCGAAGAGTTTACAAAAAGTCTTGGCTATAATTTCTCGAATACTAGAACACTGTTTTTTGTTATTTTATCTTTTTTACACACACACACACACGTATGCGGGTGTATTTTTGTTTGGATAGATAGTGCAATTTTTCTATTTTTTTTTTATCTTACACGTTCTATATAGGGAAATATAACTATACGCACAACGTTAAAATCTCTCTACCGAACGCTCTAACATAACACCGATCAACGCGTCTTTAACATATTAGTTCTTTGCATTTGCTTCTTCAATTATTATCAGTCTTGGTGTGTGTATGATATTTTGTTCTCTTTACATGGTGCGTCGGCAGCTCAATCCCCAATTAAGAATTAGCGAACGATAAGTGTTTTTTTTCTTTAGCATTCATCTATACTAGATATAATACGACGATATTTGTTTACTGCTTCATATGGCTATATAATAACTATTCTTTGTTTCTGTTACACAAGGTTAATACAGTCATTTTCTTTGCTTTACTCTGGAAGAAAATGAGATATACTTTCTTCAAGTTTGAACGAAATGTCATTTTTGTGCTTTGAAAGACGGAAGTATACAACACTAACAAGAAACGTACCTCTTATAATATTTCTACAACTTCAACATTCAAATATTATCTAGTTTTTTTCATTCAACATTTATATGTATGTCTGCACAGTAAACAAATGTCGTTTCACTTTTGCAACTATCGTCGTGGATAAAAAAGAAGATATATAATATATATCTCAGCACGTAAATTTACGTATACGCATTTAAATTCGTAGATATACATTCACTTATACTTAAATGTATATTTATAATATGTATACGTCACGGCTAGTTCGTGACTTTCTTTGCCTTAAAAATATATTATTGTCCTTCGATGAGAACGTAGCACTTGAACTTCACGTCTTCACCAGTCTCATCGTGACTGGTCTTCACTAAAACTTTCATTGTCCTCAAAATTTTCTTTAGCCTTTGTTATTTTCTCTTTTACAAGTTTTTAGATAAAATAAATCTTAAAGTAAAATTTTTTCTAACTTTACATGTTACAGGCTTAAACTATGATATCGGGAGCATCGCCGCATTATATTTATTTATATTCGTAAAGCGTGTCTTGCTGGAAATATTTTTCGCGATAGAACTTATGTGTTTGCGTATATATCACAATTAATCGCACTTTCATTAAAAAAACTCAAATTTCATTAGGCGCTTGATAGATAAGTGAAATTAATTGTGAAAAAATATAACCTTATATACACACTAAGATTCGAAAAACTAGATATACTCAAATCTTTTCCAAGCTTAAAAAACAGTGAAAATAAAAGAATGAAATCTACGATTATATTCCTAACTTAAATTATAAACTATATGCTTATTTACATAGTACGCAAGTACTTACAAAAAATGAAAAATTCATTTAAGAGCGATAAGAAAAATATCAACGAATACTAATATTTCCAGAGCAAGTCCCGCGCGTTTCATCCTCGTAGAAGCAGATCGACGCTGAACTGCTTGACAGACGACCACCATCAGACGTCATTTTCATGACATAATTCGATTTTTCGTCTTGACAAGTGAATCCTTCGTTTGTCGGCGATGAAGTCACGCACGCAGCCACGAATGCCACGATGTCCTGGTCGACCGCCTATGAAGAGTTTACCGTTGGTAAATAATGGGCCTGATTCGATGTTTTGTTTTACTGGCAAAAGGTCATCGATTTGAAGCTCGGTTGAACGACGACGGCGTATTGCACGGATATGGTGCCAAAAGCCGTCGTTGATGCGTTCCTACAAATGGAAAATTTTAATTTAGATTTTAAGGAATATACGAAAATTTTGTAAAATTTAAGTCAACGCTTGTAAAACTGAACATACGTTTTGACTTTATCAGAAGACTCAGTTTTTAATATTTTTACAATAAAACTAATTTATTTTTGGAAGCAAACGTTTTATAAATATAAAATGAATTGTATGAAATAAAGTGTTATCGAAACACAATTTTGAATGTTTTCGGAAAATTAATTTCGAAAGAAAATTCGTGACGGTTTCTTGGATACTACTTTTTCTTCTATGCTGAAATATTTATATAATAAGGCAAGGATTATATTTATATTATAAAAAGTTTTTGATAAAAAGTTGATATCCTCAAGAGAGAAGACAAAATTATATTAGCAACTTTACAAGAATATCGGACGTCTTTCATGCGAGGATAAGAAAAAAAGGAAAGTCTCTTACGTCGCTCCTGACGGTGAAATTTTCCCTTCGGCCAAGATAGGTAAGGACGACGTAGCCATCGCGCAGCGACAGCATCAGATGCTCCAATTTGCCACGGCCGACCCAGGCGATAACGCCTTCCGAATGGGTCGTCCTCAATCTCAATTCGAATTTATTCGACTGCCTCTCTCGCCTTCTGCAGGCAAGAAAAATATCCAGGTTGGCGCGTGAGAAAATTTTTAAGCCTTTCTGACGCGTGCGTTCGCATCGCTCCTCGCTTCGTTTTCTTCCTCGCGTTGAATTACAATTATTATTCACCCGCGTAAGCGCAGCATTAATGCAAATTATCGAAGCAATAACTTTTCCCATTCCCTTTTTTATTGGTTTCGCTTCACTGATGATTACAAAATCAAGTTTGAAGTTTGCATGTTTAATGATACAAATACTTTAATATTTATGAGTGCTGGAGAATATTTCAATTTTATGAGTTTTAAATTATTTTCTGTGTTTCTTTTTTAAATAAATACGATATCTATAATGATCAAACCGAAATAAATGACCAGATTTTCGAATCCTATCACATTACATTATTCATCGTAAAGTTTCGAGATGAAAACTAAAACAAATCCTTAAATTAAAAAAACCATCAGAATATATTCAAATCTTTTGATAGTTAAAATATAAAATTCACCTGATTTATATTCAAATTTAGAAATGAAAAATCCTGCCAATAGGATTGACGAATTGCTTTCTTGATCAAATAGAATTATATTTTTTTTGTGATAATGTTATTGAGTTTATGAACGAAAATATTCAATAAGCAAGACATTTGTTCTCGGAAAGTGTTTTTCCATTTTTAAATCGCAAATAATTTTTTATTATACATTATTTTTTATAATGTATAATAATAAATGTTTTCATTTTTACGAGGACGGTAATTATGCAGAGACGACTGTAGCGTAATTAAACATTGAAAAAAATATAAGGTAAAAAGCACTAAAAGCTTCTTTAATTTATTAAATATTCTGCAAATAAATAAAAACATTTAACAGAATGAATGCCACAGATGCAAAAGTGTATTAGTGTACGAGGAACTGACGACAAGTTTTGCATTATCGACACCAACTGTCTGCACTTCCAAAGATAGCGTGCAATTTGTTTGCGTCTTACTCTGTCAATAATGAAAATGAGTTGAATTTAAAAATCTAGGTTTTCACAACACACTTCGACCAACAGTATTTATTCTTTCAGATCCTTTTCATCATCTCTGACTGAAGCCATAAAATATACTGTAACTAAATATTGTCAGTTGTTAATAGACTGTAATACTCATACATTAGACCCTTTGCTTTCAAATACCACATAAAATAGACTACGCACGCACAATATTACGATTAAGTTTGGGAAAACAACACTTACATTTTACCGAATGCAATCGAAAAAGAAATCTCACAATAAAAAAGGCTTCAATAAAATATAAGTGAAAATCTACGACAGTTTCTATTTGAATATATCACTAATATATCACTAATATAATCTTCGTGAAGCACAACGATTAAGTTCTGAAATACAATATCATTTTCTTGAATCCCATCTAAAATACTAATTGATAAAGTTAAAATATAGTATTTCTAGCAGATTCGATTGGAGTATGGTGAATGGGGTCGGGAAAAATAAGTACCATAGATATCAAACGTGTCGTGGAAACATGAATATACAAAGTCAACTTATCTCCATAATTGACAGAGCAAAACTTAAAGCTCTTCTTTCTGACTGCAGACATTTGGTGTAGGTGATTCGAGCTTGTCGCCAATTTGTAGGTCTGCGGACCTTCATTATCCTACACTATGGTGGGATTTTGCAGCAGCGATGCACGTAAGGGATTCGTGAGATATGCACGCACGCCTAGTAGTCCACTGATTTCATTCCGTTGGAATAATTAAGTCTCGCAAGCTGCGCACGAACGACGAAAGCCACGCACGCACGTTAAGCTAGAACCACATCGCAAGTATTGGCACACAACTCAGTAAATCCGCACGTCAGCTCGTCAAGTTGGCCTCTTTCTAATCTCGCACACTAATGTATTTTACCTCTGCTCAATTACCTCTGTTGATATATGAATTTCTTTACAGAATATTTATTCAATTAAAGAAGTTTTTGGAGCTTTTTATCTACTGTTTTTTTTTAGTGTTCACAGTAATAAAATTAGAAAGCTACATTCGTAATACAAAAGTAATTATACACATGCCAAATTGAAATAAAATGACTAAAAGTATAGAACGCTTGATAGCTAGATACACATGATTTGTTAAGATGATTATACAAAGCGAATCAGCAATAGAAAAACAATGGATAACTCAAGAAACCGCTTTTAAGTCAAACAATTTTTCTAAAATATAAAATGAAAATAAATAAATAAATAAATATGGTCAAAAAGAAATAATTTCAAGTTAGAGTCATTTCAAGATATCCTGTTAAAGGAAGCAATAACATATGAACACTACTACAATAATAATCTATACTAGAACGCAGGTGTTAACAATTAATAGTATAGTAAAGCATTGAATATGCAGTAGCGCAAATAATTTTCTAAATCCAGAATTATTCCAGGAAATGTGTCGTTTTGCAAGTACTGGGGGCTTTTTAACTTACTCACTATAGTTGTAATTCTCATAATCATAGTCCTCAGTGTTGTAGTCAGTGTAGGACTCGTCGTTATCATCTCCGAGGGTGGTGTTAGTAGCATTAGAACTAAAGGCAAAAGTTAGTTTTCTATATCAGCGACTATATTAATTTATTACTATGACATAGTGAGCTAATATAAACTCGCGAATGCTACTCTGGACTGTAGTACAAGCTGGAGATTATTTTTGGCCCTTCGTTACTGAATTATCATTTATGTTTTCATTTGGGAGTATTAGTTAGTTTGTTAAAAAGCAGGAAAATATAGCCAATGAATTTTCAAAATCAATTTACCTCCTTCCGAATCGATGCTTCAATTGCAAGAAGTTTTCGCCGTTAAATCGTACAGCTTGCTCAATGATTTCACCACCTGATGAGTCGTAGCCCATAACTGTCAAATAAGAAATAATGTTTAGCATTCATTATCCCATTTCAATGTCAAGTTTATAATTTTGATAAATTTACAGAATTCGCAATGGATGCCGTCGTAGCCAGCCGCACACTTGCAGAAAAAACTGTTGAGTAGCGGGAAGCAAACACCTCCGTTATTGCAAGGATTTGAGTTACTTGGACAAGGCAGTCCGTTATAGATTTCAGTGTTGTGCTGCGTTTGATTGATAGCGAGGTTCTGATAAGTTTTGTCGTTCACCATTAGTCGTTGGACTGCGCCAGTGAGGCCTGTCATTGCACCGGCTAGTTTATGAATTTCTTTCCAGTGCCTAAATCAATATTTAGATCAGGAACCTATATTAACATTTCTTTTGCCTAAAATAGATTGAACTTACTTAACACCGCCAATATAAAGCGGCAATTCCAAATTCAATTCAGTAAGTGGACTTCCAGAAAATCCCCTCGCAACAGTACCATTATCAAGCCGAAGTAAACCTTCTCTACCTAACCTACTAATCCTTACACTATGCCATGTGTCTAGCATCACGATATCCGGCGAAGTGATATTGGCAATACCACTGCCAAGATTAAAACGAAACTGAAGTTTGCCTTGTACAAGATTCAAGCTTATAAAATCGCCACGGCCGTTATTCAATTGACCGTTATAAAGTAAAAGACCCTCGGTGCTGCGAGTGAGAAACCATAATTCGATTGAGAATGTCTTGGCTACACCTTCGAGACTTGGAAGCTCGATGAAACCGTCGCCTTTCATCTCAGGGATGAGGAATTCCGTCAGTTCTGCATCCACTGAAAAATTGAGTTAAATAGCTACAGTGATGTTGAGAAAGAATAACATTGTAGAATTTGAATATCACGTACATATTTCGCAATGCATTCCAGTACGCCCGGGTGGGCATTTGCAAACGTAACCACCCTCAGGTAGGATATCACAGGTAGCACTGTGGTGACATGGTTCGTTCATGCAAGGATCCAATGAGTCTTCGCAATTCTTGCCGGTGTATTGTGGTGGACAAATACACTGATATTCCAATTCGTTGGCCTCGTAGCCCTATACATTAAAATTAATAGCTTCGTTGTACATACTCATTCAAGTTCATCATAATTTGAAAAAATACCTGATGTTCATAATTCTCATCGTAATCTGGTTCATATTCATAATCACATCCAGGTCCAACGCACATTTTTCTTGGGTCCTTCGCATTATTCGGATGTTCCTTCAAAATATTACATTGGCTGCCTTTGCACTTGACGATATTCAAATCAGTGCTACTGTTCCTTCTTTCTTTAATCTTTTTACGCAGACTCCTTCTCTTGGCTCTTGGCCCAATTAAACAATTTTGGCCCTCGCAGCGTAAATCCTCTTCGAAAATCGGCTGGCAAGTGGCGCCGTTTTGGCACGGCAAGTTCGCGCAGCCGTTTTCACGACATTCTTTTATTCGATAAGTTTCTAGTACATCTCTATTGAAACCAAGATGAATATCTATCGGTGTGCGATTGATGCGTAGTTTCTTGATACAACCGAGAAATCCGTGTGATGTACCGATGTTGTCGAATACTCTGCAAAAAAGCGTATCGAGTTAAAGATGCAAATTTGTATTCTATAATTTGGCTCATTTATTGAACGCACTTGCTGTAATTTGTCGGTATATTCCCAATGAAAGTATCTTGATTCAAGTCAAGGCTCTTGAGCATCCCTTCGCTAGAGCCAGCAACTTCCTCGCCATCGTCGAATATCAGCACACCGTCCTTATGATAACGCTTAGCCGCCACCCTATGGAAGTCTGTCATTGACACGCGCTCTGGCGACGTCAGTACTACCGGACCGTTACCCAAGTTATATCGGAACTGCAGGAATCTGCAAGACGACAAAGTGAACTTTCTCCATAAACGTGAACTGCAATAACAAACTACATATTAAAATAAGTATTTACCCGTCGATAATAGCAAGCGACACATAGTCACCACTGCCGTCATTCTTTTGTTGGTCGTATAATAAAATTCCATTCTCGGCATATGTCTTGAATTCGATTTCGATACTCAATTTGTAGTATCCTTTGAGTCTGTTCATGCGTATATAACTCTTGCCATCGAACGAGGCAATGTCATAGTCACGATGGTTTATCTCCTCGTCACAGTGAAAGCCTGTCCAGTTCTCGCGACAACTGCACGCGTAAGTCGCGCCTGGGAGATCGATACAAGTAGCGGACTGATGACATGGCGATGACTGACACGCACGGAATTCTTCGGTTGGAGTTACTGGTGCGTAGTTTGCTGAAAATTGTGTTTATTGTTGGCCAACTGTTTATTGCTTTGTTGTCTTAAGTTGATAAATATTCATAGATATATTCTAGATATATATTTGTAAATATATATCTTATATATTAATTAATATTCAGTTCTTAATGGAGATATAACACTATATCTAAAGACGTGAAAATAAAATGCAAAACTGAACGGCATTAACTACAATTTCAGAGTAATAATAACTACTTTACAAAAAAATGACAAAAGTTTAGTATATTGGAGGGTTAAAACACATAACTAAAAATTTTAGTTCACAAACTAAAATAAATATCTCACTGTCTGGAACACTGGATAAGTAATCTCACCTAAACTGGAGCAATCCTGTCTATCGCTCGTCTCGGCGAAGCCATCGCTGCAGATGCAATTGCGATTGATGCAAATGCTATTCGGTATACTACAGTCTTTATCCTCGTTGCAGTAGTCACCTAAAAGTGGCGTTACGACTCTTATCGTCGCTGGTGTTGGGCGATAAGCTGCTGCTGCTGAGCCTGCATAAAAAGACAATGAATTAAGATAAGTTATGATTCCAACGTAAAAGACTAAACTGAGTTATTTACCATGTCTAAGGTTCTTTCGGTCGACAGGAATAGTCTCCTCGTGCGCGCGATGCGTGTAGTAGTAGCGTGCATCTGGCTCGGGTACCATTAGGTGCCTCGTTGATTTTGACAAAGGCGATATCGCTGCCGCCGGCTGAGTATAGTGCACTGCCGTGTATCTCTTCACTGGGAAATCCGTGTTTGTCATCGAATCGTCTGTAAAATACGGGCAAAATAGAAAGTTTGAATATTTACGGCTTTTTCTTTTATTAACAGATTATCTGATTGAGATAGACAGATCGTTGTGTATTTCATGGCTCTCGCGCTTTGAGCTTATTTTTTCTTGTTGATTGAGTATAGGAACATATCGTCCGACGAAAAACCAACTCGTTCTACGTGATATTGACATACGTGATTTTACGTCCTCACAATAAAATCTAAGGTAAAATGTAGATGTTCTATCTGACGGGAAATCAATCGTGGAAAGAACAGGTATTAAATAAACATTCTCAAGTCGTAGAAACAAGCCGAAGTAAAAGAAACGCAAAAAGGAGCAACAAAAAGCCAGTAGGGTTCCACGGTAAAGTAAGCGCGAATCGATTTGCTGCCAATGAAAGGACAATCAAGGGAAGGGGAAGCATTCACAGGCAAATGAAATCGTCCCTTCGATTCAAGATAAGAAAGCTGGCTGAATCTTAATCTACTGTGTTCGCGAGACGTCTATTCGATGTTTACGAATACAAATGGCGTGTCTCCCTTTCGCTCAATTTACGCTTTGATTGTTTTTCCCGCGACGATGTTTTTTATTTACAGTTTGGAATTATTCATGAGTTTTCGGACTCGATATTTAACTCCAGAGCCAGACTAAAATAATAATTCGTGGGTGACTGTTAATCAAATGAATAACTTATTTAATTACGTTTGCATTTGTTGTATGTATAATTTATGAATGAAAGAGTTTGCGCGACCCTATATTTGTTTTAAAATATTTTGTTTAATTATGTATGCCACGATGACGAATTGTTCAAAAAAGTTTAATTTTCAACCTCCAAATAATTTTAATGCAATTATGTCAAGAGAAAATCAAGCTTTTAAAATATTTTCGATGGCCGCCATTTTTCATAAGTGTACCAATATTTCAAATATTTTCAAACAGCAAGTAATTACTTTATTGTTTATCAATAAATTAATAGATTTATTGGTCTAACGTTCAATGTTGGTTTAATGATAGTTCGAAAAACCTATAATGGATTTTTCGAAGTGACTTCGTCAAATTAATTTAATTATTCAATAATTGTTTCTGCATCGTATTTATTTTATATTTATGCTTTCATTTGAAAATTGGAATTGATTTTTTTATATTAGCCTACAATTCAGTATTGGAATTTCTGCCGATTGAAAATTTTACAAATAAAGTATTTTAAGATATTCCTATAAGAAAAACCTCTTCGTATTCGTAACGTTGTAAGGCATACTGACTCACGAAGACGCTCACAATAAATTTCTCGAAAGGCGACTGGTAATAGAATCTTGCCTGTATACCACGACACATGTCTAGCTCTGCCTTTTCTTTGCGCAAACATCCAAAGTGCCTTGAAGAGAGAACTAGTCTCTTGCTAGTAATCCAATCCTCCTGCTCTCAACTTTTCTCTCGCGGACGAAACTTTTAAAAAGATTGACTCGCGAAGAGCGACTCGTAAATAAGTTATTCGTTCTGCCGTTTAATTCGGTTGCGCTCGCTTCTTTTTGGCGCTAAGGATCGATTGCTTTTTTCCGTGCGACGCAATTCAATTAAATTTGACCGATAGTAGCCTACGAGGTTGATGTGTACTCTGATTTTAAATTAAATTGGATATAACTCGGGCGAATTGAAGTGCTATTGCGAGGATCTTTTTCTCGTTGCTTTGGAAATAAACAGGAAAGTAGGCTGATTAAATTATTGATTAATGTTTTTTTCACGTATACTTACCAAATTTTCGTACAAATAAAAATTAAATAAAAATCAATTTGTGAAATGATATAAGTTTTGGATTTGTTAGGATAAAATATTAGTCACTGTAAGCAAGATTAGTATAATCCGTACAAATGGTAAGTACTTTATTTCTTTACACAATATACATCTCAAATGCTCGTTCAGTTGTCAAGCTAAAAGCGCTAGATAGAAGGAGTTTCACAAGCGTCAACAGTACTAGGTATCCAACTCATTAATATTATTACGAGGCAAGTCAAATTCTGGTTATTCACAGTGGATGATTGTAAGTGGCAGGCACGATAATGAAAAAAAAATTTGCAGGCACTTTCGATTGTCAATATTACTGTACCGGCAAAAAATGCGAATTCTTATAACAAATATGAATCCACTGACATTACCAACAATCGACTACACTCGAAAAGGTATATTAAACCATATAAGCCCAAAGCTATAACGAAGCCAACACTACCACATCTCTCTGTCTCTCTATCTATCTGAGTAGATCTCTCAAACGGTATTAGGTCTGCGAGGATGTGAACCAATCCTTCGATTTTCAGCCAATGACTGACCTCGGCATTGGCCAAACGCCTGCGGTACGACGTCGGTTTGATAACGGCAGGCGTAGAGTTTTAATTCGCATTCGTTGTCATAAGTCTGACCGTCGCTACCGCACACCGACACGGCCGGTGCGTCTTCTGGGCAACTTGCTGGGCAAACACAGTGTGGACCGCCTGCACCACCTACTGACTCACTACATTGACCACCCGAGTAACATTCCAGTTCAGTGCAGCTCGATGCGTGAGGGAGTAGTGCGTCAACTGTGAACATCAGAAACGGAAACAACAGATTTTTTTGTGATTAGTTTAGCTGTAGAAATGGTGATTATCCCATTTTTTTCGAGTAAAACTTGTCTTGGAACATCTTTCGTAAAAGAGAAACTGCATATAGGTGTGGAAAGAGAGTCGTATAAATGTAAATGTGATCTCTTAAAGCATATATATGTATGTACCTGGCTGGCATCCCTTAGGAGTGAGTATCTTATTATGATCGGTGCAGATCGTGCATTTTTTCCCAGCGATCTCGGGTTTGCAGACACACAAGCCCGTCATCTGTTCGCAGTCCTCGCGCACTGAGCCGAATAGCGAGCAGCCGCACGCTAAAAACATATGCAATTTTTCTTTCTCTCTCGATCTCTCTCTTAATATCGTATCTGATGCATTTTTAATACAACTGAATGTAATGTATTACGTATGCATCCTTGATGCCCTTTGTCGACTTTGGATAAGCCCCAGTAGCCAGGCTTACAACGATCGCATTTTAATCCGCCGACACCTGGGCGACACTCGCATTGGCCATCTTTGGGGTCGCAGGTATCCGACAGGCTACCGAGACGATTGCAATTACATTGATTTGGACAACCAGCCCCATCGGGACCTTGAGCAGCAGTTTTACCATCGGGACAACAACCGTGCCAGGTTTCCTCGCATTTTAAGGCATGTTGGGCTACAAAAAAAATTGTAATGCTGACGGAAACATATCGAAGCGTCAATAGGCTTCGAATAAAAATGTATTCACCTTTCCTGCAGCACCTGGCGAATCTGGTAGTCTGATGGCAGTACGAGTGACTAGGGCAATCTCGACGCTCGGGACCCTTGCCACAGTCATACTCGTTACCCTCAGCATCGAGAAGCGGTTGCTCGCCGTTACAAGGTTTCACCTCTAGACCTGCAGTTTCAAACAAAAAACCTCGTATACGCAAAGTGTATGCTTAAACGTTGATGTAAATGTGCATGTAAAGGTCTATTAGCCTGATTAATTACTCATTCGGGGGAGTGGGAGAGATGAAACGAGAAAAGCACACATAGCCGAGGTCATTTTACGGTCGGCAGACTTGACACAAACGCCATACGGTAAACATACGCCGTGCCGACTCCACCGCCGTCGCCGCCGCGAGCCTCGTTACATACCAGAAGCTTTTTTTTCGTTTTTTCGTATGTATACCCTTGCTCCACCCCTTCTTTGATAATTTGTGCAAGCTACATTTAACTGTTTTAACAAGATTAAACGTGCGACAATCTAATGGAGTTTTCGCGAGCTTGTCGTAAAAGAATCTACGTATGAATGCCTTTTTTGTTTAAGCAAGAGCGAACCTTGGCATAGGTCTAACGGTCTGAGTCTCAGTTCCTGTTGTCTTTGGCAAGACTGCATGAGCATGTGACACATGCTTGGATAAGTCTGCATGTCGCTTCCACATACAACGTGCTTGTTTTCTGGTGCCATTGACGCGCAATCGAACTTGCAGCTACATCGAGGAAACTTGTCGGGACCCAATTCGCAAGTAGCATTGAAGTCGCAATGGATATCACGGCAGGCTTCAAATTCCGGCGCTGCTGTGCTCACGTCCGATGTGGTTGATTGTCGGGTTATGGATGGTGTTGATATCGTTGCTAGTTTGTTAGTTGTCAGCGAGGAATTTTAGTGCTTGGTTAGTTGGATGCGAGAAGCATTTTTGCAAAATCAATGGAAAAGAAAATACTAACTGAGAGCAGCCACGGGAAAACCATCGTAGCATTCGCCATATAGAATGAGCTGTAATTGTGGTAAGTTAGGATCACGCGTGCAAGCTTCTTTTTGGAGTTCGCACTCGGAGGCATAAGTCTTGGTGTCGCTGCCGCAGACAGGCTCGTTCGTTGGCTTAGGACACGTTTCGGGACATATGCAAACTCCAGCCTCGCAGCGAGCTCCATTCTCGCATTTTATGCTTGTGCACATTTCTGGAATAATCCGATAATTGCTTCAATTTCACAGTTAAACGGTTTTGAAGTTTATTATATGGCCGATCGATATTGATTCGCACTACTTCGTTGGCTGTACACGAATTTGGAGTTTGAGAACTATTCGAACTTGGCGAAAGTTAGCAAATACGACTTCATCACAACGGTGCATCGCGAACTTGTCAATCAGATCAGGCAAGTTTGCTTTATCCAGCAAACGAGATTATCTAATCTAATCTAATAAGAAGAATAAGCTATGTAAATATGATGCTTACCGCAGTCTCCTTTATAACTGACCACGATGAGAATCTGACTGGTACACGATGTCTTCTTCAGTTCGCATTCATTTTTGTAGGTTATTCCATCGGATCCACAAACTATACTCGAACCTGTGGACTCCTGCGTTAAGAGGGAAGACCATTATCCAAATTAATTTTACACGTGAGTCAAATTTAATCTCTCGCTGGGATTTGGTTTACCGTCAACGCCAAAACTTTAAATGAATATTAATTATCTAAGAATACATTTGTAGCTCCTGTAAGTTTATAAATAAAACTATTAAGGATCACGCTACGCCACTTATTTGACACGTGCCTCAGGGCAATGCCACGTTTAATATACTTGTTGCGCATTCGTACGATGGAAAAAAAATAATTCTTGTGTGTATGTTTGATGCAAAAAGCCAAACTTAATTAGTCATCGGATGTTTGCACGTCGATTATTTGCACAGATGATCGAATTAGTACGCCAAGGGTGTTGTCGGTTTGTCGGGGAGGGACTTCATATATACGAAGTGTGAATGATTTGTTACGTGCACGGTGTGTTGATTGGCAATCGATTTTTTGTTGTTGAATGATTGCATTTGTTGAAGGAAATACTATTGAATTTTACAAAATAAAAGAATTCAACTAACGAATAATTGTTATTTACAGTAAATTCGTCAACTTTTCCACATATAATCAGTATAATTCAATCTCATAAGTCATTCGAAGTGCAAACACGAAATGTGGAAGTTTCAAGCTCCCTGATGGAATCAAATTTGCACTTTGGAATTGACGACATACGAGCGGGAACAAAAGCAATGCGACATTTCAATTCAATTAAACCAATCTAAAAATTCAAAACTTGTCCTAGCAACATCATATAAACCTCGAAAACAGAAGGGCAAACACACACGGAGAACTATTCTCCGTGCACGTATATAGAAAGATGCTTGCGACTGAAGTAAAGTAGCTCTGTATATGCATATGTGTGTATATGGGAGAGGGAGAGGGATGACTGTTATTCCAACAGCCTCGAAATCTAATTGGAATTTGAGGCTATATGCGTGCAGCTCCTGCACATTGTTCTATTAAATTAATCTTAATGAAGTTATTAATTGGTCGAAGAGGCGAGGGAGGTTGGCTGTTTTATGAGCGCACGCGGGTGTCTGTTTTCGTTTTGAATTTTGCACGGCGCGAGAACGCTAAGTCCGCTGTTCTCGTTAAGAGGTTTAATTAAGGCAAGGGGAATTGCCCTGGTTGCCATACCATTTATATATACAAGATCAGGTTGGTATTTTAACCTACAAGTTTGCTTTTGCAATAGTTGATGCGACCTGTTGTTTTATTGCGCGAGACGCTTCAATTATATTAGTCAAATGGGCAAAGATCTGTTTACGATGGATTTATTTTCTGGTCGTTGGTTGAATTACAATATGAAACTGTTGCTTGGAAATGGCAGAAATTAGGTTTGTGAGTGGTTGAATACATTAATAAATGCAAGGGTTTTGTCGAGTTTTAGTATTCAGTAATGTAGAAATTACTTTTATCATTTATCGGCCGATAAAAAGTTTTGCAAATACAGTGAAACGAGCGAATGTAACTCGCAGTTTGAAATCCAAGCGCTGCCTCAACGAAATGAAGTATTAAATTTAATTGTGACCCATAAAATGTCTATTAATTTTTTTTCTTCTCTCTTTTCCCTATTTTTTTTTTTTTAATATTCCTAGTGCGAGTGCGAGTTCGAGAGGACAATAAAGCAAAACTTAATTAGCAATAAAGAAGCGTAATATTTCTAGAAAAAGCAATTTGCCGCTCGAGGCAAAAGACACTATTTGTACTTCGGGGACTTGGCAAATGATATCCTCTCGTTATTTTTTCAATTTCTTCTTTTTTTGACAAACATCGATTATCAAACCTTACGTATTTTTTGTTCATGAAAGAGAAAAAGAAAGAGAGCTACTTTGTGTTTACTTTCAATTATAGCTCTTCTGTCTCTCTCTTTCTCTATCTTTCTCTTTCTGGCAGAAAAAAGTTCTTGGTAGATTATTTAAAGAAGTAATTTTTATGCCCTTAGAAGCTTCTCTCTTCCATGCTCGCATGCGTGGTTATTTTTGAATTTAGACTCGAGTTAAGTAATACTGTTTATCTTGGGCAATTTTCTTTTTTTTTGCGCTAAGCGCTATGTTCATAGCATGATGGCTTTTTTCTGAACGGATGAAAAAATTTTTACTCATGGTTAACGAAAGTACTATTAACCTTTAACGAAAGTAATATTTACTCGTGGTTAATTCGGCGAAGGGATAGACTTAATTGAATTTAATTACAGTGTTTTGAAAGTAATACACTGAATCAATTTTTTAATTACGAATACTTAAGTTCACAAGTCAATGTCTATTTTAACAAATTAAAATTATAATTTTCTCTTGGTTTTGTGGCGAAATTAGTAATTCGACGATGTAAGAAATTTCGTAATACCATGAAATCTTCCAATTCTTCTGTCAAAGACAAAAAGTGCCTTTCGAGTAAAAATTTATCCATCGGAAAGCCAATAGAAAATAAAAAGAACTCGAGACAGCACAAGTTTATAAAAATTCATAGCATCGCGTCGACTAATTCATTAAGACAAGAGAGCATTGTTGAGGTTGAAAAAAAGGCTATGTCAATAATAACCATCAGTTTCAGTCAATTTGTCGCGCGAGAGTTCATAGTCTTGAGAACCTAGTGTTTGTAACGTTCGATTATTTTTCTGTTCTACCGTGTACATCGGATATACTCAACGTATTTTAATTATTCAATGGCTTCATTGAATTTCATGAATTTCCTAGTAGTCTGTTGTTTGCATACCACAGGTAAAAGAACTTTATTCATTTCGCTTGGATAATCTTCAATTGTTCAATCTCACCTCGTTTTCGGATATCGTGCCTTATCTATTCTCTATTTTTTTTTTGCAAATAAGGGATTACGTATATTTTTTTTACAGAAGCTACGAATATTTTGTGACGTGAAAAACTCATCGTTAATAATTTACTCAGATGTTATGTTGACTAATAACCGATAAACCATAGCACATGGCTGTGTCTCCTTTTTTCCCTCAAGAGCTTAATAGCCACATTACTTACCGCCTCTTCGCAATTGCTTGGGCAAATGCACTTGGCTTCGCCACTTGGCTCGCTCTCGCATATACCGTAGTGCTCGCACTTCTTGTTCTCGCAACCATCTGCAAACAAACACACACAGAGCAAATATTATCAGTCAAGTATATCACTCAAATTGTTTTTATGATACGTAATTTTATAAATTTTTTGAATGAACGGCAGACATTAGTGAGGATAAATCTTATGGTTATTTGAAAAAGTAGACAAGAAATGAAAAACTAGATTCTTTGAGTAATGAAATCGAAAAGTGTTATCAATGACAAACACACAGTTCTAGAATGTTTAAAAATATTCATTTCAGTGCCTAAGACAATATCTATAGTTCAATTTGCAAAATCCATTATACGTAGTAACTATAAATTATGAACCTATCCAGCCTGCAGTTATATAAATTTTGATCTAAAACCTAATACGGTATACGCAAAGACAGTTAAATCAAGAACATCGAAAAGCCACTTCAATAAAACAAAAAAATTTCTTGCATCGTTGAAAATGGTTTCGTGCCTACGCGAGCGCATAGCGAGGTTGATATAAAAAATTTTAACCTGAATCCGTCATCGGCAAGTCCTGCTATTCATCGATATTCAAATTGTGACAATTTACTCCGCGAGACGTACACGCCAGATAAAAATAAAATATATTAATTGCAATGCTTGACTGTTGGTATATTTGTCAAATTAACTTTTTCGTGGATTACTCTAGAATTAACAATTAATGTTAGGTGATACGCTAATCGGGAATTGTAACTTGTAAGTTAAGAATGTGAATATGCGATATTCACGATAAGTAAGCTTTGATCTCAGTTTGTCTATAGTTGAGTTATTCTTTGGCACTGTGACATGTAAGTTGCTTAGAATTTTAGAATTTTATCTTTAAAAATATGTTATAGCTATAAATAAAATTAACAGTGTTTTTACTCTTTTCTGTTTATTTCTTGAAATTTGGAAAATAGCGTTATTAATTTTAATGTAGAAGTTTGTTAATAAACAGTTTTATCATAATTTTAATTTAGACCGATATCATAAGTGTGTATGTGTTCTAATAATACTAATTTTATTTAAATTTATAAGGAAAGGCTTGGATTTATTATTATGGTATAAAGTTAATAATAAAATTGTGATGTGTTTAGTATACTCTTTTTATATTTATATTCAGAATATTTGAACAAAATTATCAAAAGATCATATTCACTATGTTAAAATAACCGATGAAATAAATCTTTGCTAAAAATGCAAAGTTTTTTTACAGTCGGAAAAGGATGCTTCCACAATCGCCATTATTGCCAACTTTTCTAACGACAAGAAAAAAACCCTGCACGACAGCAAAAAATACTCTCGACACAAGTGAAATATGCCCCGTGCGTAACAAAGACGGCATATACGGATGATATATGCGCAAAGCTTAGAAGGATCATCGAGACGCGGGCGTCGTTATACGTACGCGAGCTTGTTTTACGTATCTGTGCGTACGTGTGCGTGTGCTCGGGAAAATGTAGCCGCACAAGAACCAGAAAGTCGTTAGACGGATCTTCCTATACTTAAGAACCTCGTCACGTCGGCGTGCGCGCATTCTAGCGGTATCACGCGAAAGAGAAAGAGAGAGAGAGAGAGAGAGAGAGAGAGAGATTTTGCGCTTGGGATTATGCTTGTGCAATTTCATGCAACCGTGGATACGTCAAATTCGTATACTGCTTTCTTTTTTTTGCTCTCCTTGGGATTTACTCTAGTTTACTTTGTTACGCGGGTTGAGTCTGACTGAAGAGTAAAGAGATTTTAGAGTGACTTCGAGTGGAATTTGAAACTAACTACGATAAATATTTTTGTAACAATCAAACTTTCAGTCGATAACAATGTCCAAACAAATGCATGCCGCATGATCTGCATGTACCACAAGTTACGTCACTCGAGCTAACGCTGGAAGCAGACACACATGTGTCGACAGTCTAATTTTCAAGGCAAATCCACGCATTACTACGATGCAAATTGGTCGCCGCACACATCACGCGCTCGCGTCACTGGAAATAGTTGCGGCTCTGTTTCGCGGTTGGTCACTTCTGCGCGCGCACCTGGTGGCTTCAGATTTGCATGTACGCGGCCAAAAAGATTGACCAGATGCTCCGCACAGTCGCTGCAGCCCCTTCGGATGACTTGTACATTTGTCTTCGCGTTAATCTTGTTTTCAGTTAGAGATATAGGTATTTCAGTATGAAGATACTCGTAGCATTGCAGAGTTCATCTGCTAGTTACCTTCATCAGTTTATTCAATTGATCTTGTTATGCGATTACTTTAGGATTCATAATATAAACCTTGCCGGAGCATTTATTATATTAGTTATTTACGGAAAAAATTTAATATTCAATATTGGATTTTTTAATTGAGGTTCATGTTTCGCTCTAAAGGAATCTTATATCATAACTGAACGCTTCAGTTTTTTAGTAACACATTTTTTGCAGATTCACTTTGTCGAATACCATTAAAACACTCCGCTGCTACAGTTCGTTAGTTTTAAAAATACAAGTTTGCAAAATCTCACAGAAGGAAGCTCGGTTGTTCGTTTTATTTTCTGTTGAACTCACCGAAAACTCAGTCGTATATTTTTGATTTAAACGTTCAAAATTACGCTTGATTTATTTATGAGGTTATTAAGTATTTATTTCTCTTTCTCTTTCAGCAATCGAATTTAATTTCCAATAGAGACGTCTGGCAATTAAAAATAAGTTGAAAATCAATGGAAACAATAGAATGATTTGTTTGGTAAAAAAAAGAACAAAAAAAAAAGGAAAAGAAAAAAACTAATTTGGAGCCAATAAAACCATTGAAAAATTGAGCGGCTTTGCAAAAGTACCTCGCGAGTGAGCATTTTCAAAATTGCATGGTTACTATAGCAGCACGAAGTGCGTTTAAATTTTGTAATCCACATCTCTCTTTGAGCATGCAAACTTCATTCGAGTGAGTTTGAAATATTTAAAAGCTCTCAGCCAACACTCTCTTTTCGATATACTAATCGTAAGCTCTAGGATATTCAGACGAGTCATGAAAATTTTCCGAGAGTAAAAATCCTCTTTTGCTCGCCCTCATCAAATTATATCGTACAAAGACAGAAGAGTTTTCATTTATTCAATCTCTCGTGAAATTTTTTCAAGCAAAATGCAATTTTCAGCCATAACTGCTTCTCCCTTTGTCAAAGTTATAACCAACTCAAACAGGGATGGCCTTCTATCTTTTTTATTCGCGCACTAAACTTGGAGCGAAAAAAAGAAGTTTATTTTTCCATGGGAAATAATTTTTACCCTCACTGAATGCATACGTCAAAAAAGTTCTGCATATTCTCACTTATACAAGGGCAAACTTTCTTGAAGTGCACTTTTCTGATAGAGGCACTCTTTAGGCTATGCATCTTTACAAGAATAGGGTCAAAGAAACTTAGCTCACGGTGAAAAGTCGAATGTCGTAAGTCAAACTACGGTAACATGTGCATAATTTTTCTATGCGGATCATCGCTAAAAAAATTTGCCTCATTTTTCATCAAATGCGTCTAAGAGTCAAAATATATCCTCAATCCATAGTCGTACGTATCATTCGCAAAATTAGGAAGATATACTTACTGCATTGCTGTGGATAAAGCACTTGTATGTCGCGTTTGTGCTGGCAAGCCTCGTAGCGCAGTTTACATTCGTTGCCATAGGTAATGCCGTCATTGCCACAGACTGGCTGGAATTCGGCGGGACAACTAGGGCATTCGCATACCGCTTGGCCGTCGATCTCACGGCATTCGGCACCCCACTGGCAGCTCTGCAAGTGACGCGCAACTCCACTTCATAGTATTCTTGCGGCTCTTTTATTTTGCAACCAGGGGAGGTGAGAGAGATACAGAGAGTTTTTGCTCGACATCCACAAGCATTTTTCATTTCAAAAGTTTGTGGTTTTGAAACAACGAGAATACAAGAAAAAAAATCAATAGTACAGACACGACCTCGTTAAAATACATTTCTCGTTGTCCGCACAGTTAATAAGCAGCCAGCGCATCCCGAAGTAAAACCAATTACATCCTCACTTGTCACGACAAATTGCATTCGCACATAGCTAGAGGAACGAGTAACTAAGTAAAGTGTGTCCCTGGTCCTAAACCTATGCTAGAACACGGAGACGTAGGCGCAACATTCCACACGGTAAGTAGAATGACACAAAAGCGTCAAGACATTTGACCTCTGGTAACTAGGCCATCGAATTTGCCGACACTTAAAAAGAATTTTGATCTGATAAACTTACTAATTAACCGCGATTGCTGCTCTTCTCGACTAGAACTTATAATGAATATAGATTTGAAAGTCGGACGACATTTCCGCATTGAGCGTCAGTTTCTCTTAATTAAAATGAGATGGCATTTAATTTGATAGCCACGTAAAGGATTGATGGTACACGATAATTATCAACCGTCGAGCAGAGACACATTGAAGGAAAGGGTTAAGGATCCCTTTGAAATCCTTGAGTAATGATCGCGGATGCATCGACTCGAGAACGAGTGTCTTTGAGAGCAACGAATCCGCAGCTGCTCGCTTGTAATCGAGTGCTTTCTCTCTGTCGTTCGTCTCCTCCCTCCTTCCTGTCGATGCTCAATTTTTGAAGGTACGCCACCTCCAGAAATTCGATTAGCACTTTTGGTGGCAAGATGAGGGTATCAAAGTGCAATGACATACATTTTAACAAGCGACGGTTCTTCGTGTAATTTTAACATTTCTTTGATAGGCTTGAATGACTCAGACTTAGCTATCCGAATTTAAAACAGAAGGGTCTCCACGTGAATGAAGCTCACAGGAAATTTTTTTTTTAATTGCCGTCGCTTCACACTGAACGTAACAAAAGTTAGATAATTTAATCGAAACTTCTTAGCACGGTTGAAATTTATCTGAGTAATTATTATTAAAAAATAAAATGGGAAATGAAGTTTAGATATAGAACTTGGAAGTATCCTCAAATTAACCACCAAAACTGCACGTTATCTTCCATCAACTTCACTTTGGGCGAAACAAACCTTTTCCGAGCACGGCCCTTTAGATCCACAAGTCCCCACGTAGGCAAGTTTAATGTCGGTTTTGGTGATGCAAGCATGTCGTTTGAGTTCACAGTGCGAGGTGTAGGTAGTGCCGCCGAGCGCACAAACCGGCCTCATAACTGGCTCGCACTCGGGGCCACACTCGCACTTGGTAATGCCAAAACGGTCGATCGCGCATTGCTCTTGTGGCTTGCAGTTGGCGCCGTCGCACGGATTCACTCCTGCGTGCATTCGTTATTAGCCATATATGGGGTGAGATAGGCATTTTTTAATTTTTCAATTGGTTTTTTCTTCCTTGTCATACTTACGTTCGACACGAGAAATCGAGAAATCAATGTTAAGTTAGTGTATTAAACGCTTTTATCATTAGTGTACCTTTCCCAAACGCATGTGCTACATGATGTTATACGATCTATGATATTACACCAAACCCCCATGAATATTAGATATATAATCTCCAATACAAATGATTTAGGAACTAGAGAAATTCAAATATCTTGTGTTTTTCGTTGAGCTTACCGGAGTTGCAAGCCCCATTGTAGATCTTCCTCAGTTGAAGGCGCGAGCGACAAGCTTCTAGGCGGAGATAGCATTCGTTGGAGTAGGTTTTGCCGTCGCTACCGCAAACTGGATCGAAATCGATGTTAGCGCATTGCTCGTTACAACGACATGCCGGTTGTCTTGATGCATCCAATTGGCAGATTTCGGGTTCGGTACACTGAACTCCGGCGCATGGATCTGAAACAGAAAAAAAATTTATCGGAATTTTTATGCATTTATTCTATTTCATAGGTAAGTATTTGAAAGATGAAACGAAACTATACAACAATAAAGCTCAATTCAAACGACAACCAAGAAGTCTCAAGAATTCTCCTAATTGTTGTGATCGTGAAAGGTTTTATAGAATATAACCGTAACAATAACCATTTGGTAAGAAACGCAATCACTCGACGAAGAGCGCTCACAGCAATAAAAGGCATTTTTAATAATCATAAAAAGCTGCCGTAGCGTCTCTCTCTCATTGGATTCTCGTTTAATGTCGTATCCTCGACGACGACAAAAGCTTTAAATGTCGTCTTAATTGACAACACACATACGCACATACGTTTCTCGGCTTAACGACGGACAGATGGATTTATATATCTCATTATCCGCGTTTTCCTAGCGATGACATCGCGAACCTTCGCTGCAATTATCTTTCTTCTGTGGACTGCGAGAAAAATCTCGTAGAAAGAAAGACAGTGATTAATAACTACCTGAGAGAAGCTTTGCCACCAATACCACAACGACTGATTCGCACTGAGTGCCACTGCGCTCGGCAAGAAAGATTGTGCGGTCGCTCTTCACCTCGGCACAGAGAAAATCTCTAAGCCACGAGATTTTCTCTGTGCCGAGGTGAAGAAAGAGCCCTCGTTTTCTAATGAATACTTTCCTCCGCAAGTGGAATGGATGTATTGTCACAAAGTGACTCGTTAGTGGCAGTAGAAGTTAATTGATTTTAATACTTTCGATGCAAAAGTCCGCTTTTTCAATATTTCGATTTCGTCAAAATTTTTTCTTACAACTCGGTAAATATTCAGTGTATATCGAATGGTTGGGTAATAAGTAGAACAAGTATGAATTTAGTCAGTCATAACTGTCATATTAATATTTGTACAACTTTATAACCGACAATTATTTCGGAAGCTTACGCCTACTTTCAATGAAACGCAAACTAATCGTTACTGCAATACGTGAAATCTGATGCTCATTCAACGAGCGAAATTCGCCCTTCTCTCGCATGAAATCGCCGCGTCAGTACAAAAGTAGCGATATTACAGCGAGGCAAAGTTGTAGTCCGTTGAGGATAACGGAAGCCGCGTGCCGAGATTAATCTTAGTCGTGGAAGTTCGGAATCCAGGGCTCCTACTGCCACTGCCTGCCTCCCTTCTCTTTTGAAGCTCCAGTTGCAGTCCACTGGAGCGGCTCAACTCTTTCGGCTGACCGGCAATGTTAGTTGGCTTGCACTAATGGAATTTCATGTGTTTTATTTTTTCCAGGTGTTACTCTGTTGCTTTCCTCGGAGATTCGAGTACAAAGTTCGAGATTCTATCTGTTGATGGTTAATCTTATTTGTCTGCGTGAAAGCTTTTCGAAATCGATAACGTTTCACGCGACATTACCTCTCGATTCTCAAGTCACACTTCTCACTTTAATCTACTCCCTCTTCCGAAAGGAAACAAAACAGAATGAGAGCGAACCACGTGAAAACCACTTTTCTCACTCTTCGAATCATTGGTTAGCATGATGCGTAAGTTGTTAAACGAGACGGTGGCTTCAACAGATGAACAAAAATCTACGTGAGTCTTTTCAAGGGAAAAGATATGTAACTTAACTCTGTAACAAAGCTAGACGCACGTACGCGCTCCACTTAGAAATTCTCGCCTAAGCGACGAGGAGGAGAAAATTGTAAAGAGTCGTGCGTATATACATTGCCCTTAATGCTTCCTCGTCGTTGGCTTTTTAGCTTTCGTTTTCGAGATAAAACTATTGTTGCACGATCAATGTGGATTTACAACAGTCTCTACCTCGAGTGTATGTTCTTTTAGCTACAGCTAAATCCTTTGTTTTAAACTCAATATAAATTTGAACCACGACTTTATTCAAATTTCTACGTTGGTGTACTTTGCCCGAAACGAAGACTTATCATTTTTCAAGTCCATCACGCTACTCAACAATGTAAAGCATAGCGAGCGAGCTTTACATCACAATCAGATTAAAGCTGAAATGAAAAAAAAAACTTTTCAGAAGAGACTTCCTTCACCATCCACAATCACCACCAGTAGCTAATCCGTCGAAAGTTACGCTCAACTTTTTTTGCTTCTTCCCCTTCGGCACATTGACGAGCAATCGCGAACGGCGAATGAATAAACCGCATGCGCACGAGTAAGAGAGAGAGAGAGAGGGAGAGAGAGAGAGGGAGAGAGAGAGGGAGAGAAAGAGAGAGGATTATAATGATAATCGAGGCGCAAAAAAGGGCTCTCAAGAGTTTTTTTTCTTCTCCTAGCCGATTGTGTCGTCCTCGACCCGATAACTAGGAGAATGAAGCGCTGACTTTCTACTCTTTCTCTCGCTTTTTCTTGCGCGTACCCGCGCGCTTTAATGGCAAAGTCGAAGATTAATGCACTCTTTAAGATTCTTTTTCAACTTTGCTTTTGTTCGGAAAGGTACCACACCGAGAGAGATCGTCATTAATTTTATCTTTAATTGGGGATAATTACGAAAGTTGATGGTTAAAGTTTTAATTGCGTTGAAAAAATTCTCGCAAAAAAACTCCCCTACACATGTTGGTATAGCATTAACAGGTCATTTCATTTCTATTGCCGCTCTTCCACTTTGCTCCTTATTACTCTATAATTCTGATTGTTCTAACCATTTAAATTACACGTTATTTACATAGTTACAGTTGAAACGTCAACCTATTACCAAACCAAATGAACTCACGTAACTTTGCCAAGTCATATACTACCTCAAAATATTAAAGCGAGCACGTAGTTCTATCTTTTTTCCATTTTCTTTTATTTTGTCGAAAAACGCGCTCGTAGATACGTGAAATTCGAAAGACGCGTCTGCCACGTTGAACTGTCGTCGTCGTCCTCTTGTTGGCCGGTGGTGACCTACTTTTTCTTCCTTGGGATACATATTTTCGATGCTGTTTGAGTTTTTGCTTTCCTTTGCTGCTCTCCACTCTGCGGATGTTTGGCTGTCTAGAGACATCGCAATGAAAAGAAGGATGAGGAGACTATAGTATAAACTTTTCCTGAGTGTAAAGATGACGTCTCAATTGATATGGCAGTTCTGTTTATTGGTTGATAAGATGTTTGCTTTGAAAGGAAAACTATGTTTCCTTTACGAACTGAACGTTTTGTTTATTTTAGTCACATCTTCTACGAGCTTTATTCGCAGTCTAACAATTGTCAATTTGAGTTTAAAATTTTTATAAAGTTTCTAAATACATTTGAATTTTCTATATAAAGAAAATAGGGTTTACGTTTACTGGTGCCACATTGCAACGTTACTAAAGCTTTTTATTTTACTATGCGGCAGATAGACCGAAAACAATGAAAAGGTGACATCTGTCGAAAAGGTGAGTCCTTATTGCGAGCTTTTGTATTGAGAATATTGGAAAAATGCCGATATCTCAAGACTTGCTTGTCATTTTGTCTTCAAACTTTTTTTTGTATGATTTTGCTTAAAAACGGTCGCATATTAAATATTATCTGAAATCGATTTTTAAGAAAGTTATAATAACTTACTTTAATATGTACATGATAGTTTACAGTTCATTCATAAGCATCTTAAAGTAGGTGAAATAGATAGAGTAAAGAGTTTTAGAGAGGCAGAAGTTCGAAAAAGACGCAGTGATCTTCACCCTCGAACGTTTCAAAATAAGAAGCACACAACTCAGTTTTCTGCCCTTCCTTCCTCCCCCCCCCCTCTCTTTTTCTATCTGTCTATCTGGCAGCTTTACCTTGCCGACTACGAATGCAATGTTTGCTGGAAAGAAAAAGTAAGACATGGGAAAAAGGGAGACGAATCGAACAAGTCGTCGCATAGGTCGAAAGTGCACTTTCGAGACTGTGCGAATAGATAACGATCAAAGTATTGTTTGTAAAATATACAAAATAAACAAACAAACAAAAACAAAATAAGAAAAGGATAAAATGTTTCGAAAACTGCATCTAATATAATATAACAAATGTGATAATTTAAAAATGTATCTTTCTAGAAATTGAATGTGAAATGCCGATATCAAGGCATTTCCTTTTAGCGTAAATTATTTAAATTTTCCAAGAACCTCTTTTGCCTGATTGATTTCAATCAGAGTAATTGAATATCCAGGCAAGGACAGTTTTTTTAATTTTTTGCTGTCCGTAGGAAGTAGAACTTAGTTCCGAGCGCATAATAAATGCCAGAGCGTCACCTAACGTCAACGCTAATTTAATTAAGTAGCAGAAATGAATATCAGGAACGCGCGCTTCATTGCACTCCTCTTCAGCTCCTTTTTCGAGAGTGCTGAAAGTACATTTGTAGCTTGAGATTGGTTGGCATTTTCCAAGTAAATTCTCGTGTATAACAAATCCACGAGTAAAAAGTCAAGCAGGATGAAAATCACGACGTTGGCGTTAATTGTAAATCCCCATTCCGTCACGACAAATGCAGTATAAACTTGGCTGGGGCGTTTAATCAAGCGCAAGCGGCGAAGACAAATGTTTGATCAGACAAGAATAGTGCGGCAACGCGAGTTTACTTAGGATTAGGCGAGTCGCGTTGATTGTTCGACTTCTATTCTTTCTCTCTTTTCAATTTTTGTTTGGTGTTACACTTGTTATAGCATTTGTTTACGACAATAGATAAGCTGCTAAAAACATTTTTTAAATATACGCCTTACTAATGATTACATCGATATTTATTAATTTGGTACTGGTATGTCTGTTTTCACAAACATACAACTGTTATTCCACCATATTCATACTAGTGTAGATAATGATTACAATATAGCAGTAGTTATAATATACCATTTTAAATAAATAAAGCAATATGGTCTTTGTTAATCAAAAAAGCCATTGGTAAATCACTATCGAAATATTCATTCAATTGATGACACTGATTCATATTGATTTAGAAAATTGTAGTTGTTAAAATAAAAATTTATGAGTCCGCGATGAGTATACTATATTCTATAACTATCGACATTTTTTGCCTGACGAAAAGTATATTTTTGTTATTCCATTTTATTTTCTACCTACTTCATACAACAAAATGATAATTCAAGTAGACACTTGCTAATTCAATCCAAGAAGGTGCTGCCACTCGACACTGTGCCACCTGGAGAATCCAGAGGATTTTGGACACTTCAAGGCTTCTGTGAGAAGAAAAAAAAAATGAAAGAAAAAAAGAGGTGCTATCCCTCGAGGATGTACACGCGACGAGAGAGAAGAGAGATTAGCCCTTGACCGGTGCTCTCGCGATTTTTCCTCGAGTGCCGCTCGGAAAATTACGTTGAGTGCTGCCTTCCCGACGAAGTGGGAGGAAGCTTAATGAATTTTCCTCCTCCTCGCTACCCGCTTTTTTAATTCTCTACCGAGCGCGTGCTGCTGCTGCACACGCGATATACACGTTCGCATGGCGTTGCATCGCGATAGGTGCGTGAACTCTTCCTTCTTTCTCTTTCTCTCTCACTTTTTTTATTTTTAATCAAGTGCTACTGCTTCGTTTTTTTCTCGCTGCGTCGAGTGCGCTCTTAATGCTCTTTAACGTCAAGTTGGATATTGTGTTGTTTCTTTCTTTGGAATGGTTTTAGTGCAGTATATTGTAATCACGAGCGATTTATGAATGCATTTATTTATCTCGCAGTGGGTAACTTGATATAGTAGGATTTATGTGTTTTCTAGTAAAAAATTTTACGATGACAAGTTATAGTTTATATTCTTAAAATTCTAAGAAAGTTCGAAAATATTCCACTATTAAATGAATGGAGTGTGAACGCGACAACCTTTCTGAGAAATCTGAAAATTTTTCTCCAGCAATATCGAGTATACGTGTCAGAAAATTGTAACTTCGACTTCACCGATAAGTTCATAGAAAGATTCAACTCAACAGCAACATTTCTCGGTTAGGCAATGGAATGTTCCCTCACAGGAACTATTCGTTTCACGTCTTTGAGGGAGAGATAGAGTGAGATAGAGAGAGGCATGGTGAGGGAGGTCTTTGTCATCGAGTAGTCGGTTCGCATTTAACGCCTTCGGTGCGAGGTATTCGTATTCCCGGGTTTCTCTCTGTCTGTTTCTATCTCTCCCTCTCTCTCTCTCTCTCTCACTCGTGTGTCTGTGCCAGGATCAGCGTGCGCACTCTCTCTCTTCGTGTGACAGTATAGCTGCCAATAGCCTGACAATTGCCTGGCTAATTTGTCATTGTCTCTCTCTCTCTCTCTCTCTCTCTCTCTACCCCGCATTCGCTTGAGCTCTTGCGTAATTCCGCGTCGCTTGTCCAACGAGCTGTGAAAAACGACACGTTAATGACGCGCGATGCAACCGTTTCAATTGTCGTGGTTATATCTCTTGCCCCACGTCGCGGATTATTTTTGGATTTTCCAGACGGAAAATGGATTTATTATTAACGGCATCTGGTTGCATTTATAGTTGCGTCTCCTCCCCCAAATGATATTTCATTTTTTGTTTTCTGACACAGAAAGGGAGGCAGAAGTGTCGGAGTGCGAGTAATGCACGTTTCATTGGAGCAGTTCCGCGTTTATTTTCCACGTTTCATTATGTGAAAATCGGAAAGTCGTTAATTTCAAAAAACGAAATACGTGCCAACAGCTTTTGTTTTTGACGAGAGATACATTTGACGGGGTATTATCAGATGACGTAACATCGTTAAGCTTTCTTAAAATCGTTTTTGAAATTGTTTTCCCATTAGTAAAACTAATATGCGCAAGTGAGAATTCTATTCGAACGCGAAATGGCAACTTTAAACAATACAAATCACACGCGTGCTGGCGAGGGAAATAAATAAATTACAAGCACGTACTAGCGATTAGTTATACGCTCCTCGCTCGCTGCAGGAGTCAAAATTGAACGAAAAAAGAATAGCGATGGTGGCATTTTATTTTTTCGCCGTCGTCGTCGATTCGAATTGTGTGCTTCGCTATTATTTTTTTTTTCGTTTCACTATATACGCAGGGACGCACCTGTGCCAGTGTCACGCGAGAAATTGGCTCTCTCTCTCTCTCTTTCCCTCTGGCTCTTATTGTGCTTCGCCTGAATAATAGCTTTCGATACAAAACTCTACTGGCAAAAATATATCTATCGCTGGTATATACAATACATATGCGTGGGAGAAAGGGAGGTAGAGAGAGAGAGAGAGAGAGAGAGAGAGAGAGAGAGAGAGAGAGAGAGAGAGAGAGAGAGAGAGAGAGAGAGAGACAGAGACAGAGAGTGGACCTTCATAATACGAATATTTTCGTGCTAAAGTAGCGCCGACGAAGTGGCATCCATTTTCCACTTTTCTTTTCTTTTTGATCAACTGCCGTCTCATCAAAATATACGGGCACGATGAATATGAGGGTGACTGGCTTTTAAATCTATTCGCTTATCTCTATGTGTGTTTGATGAAGATTTATGGCTTTACGGCTAGCGGATTTATTGTGAGTAACCAGTGTTTCGCATGATGATTTACAAAGTCCAAACGGTGTTTCGGAATGATTCATACAATACCAAATAACACATTGTCGAATGAATTCTTGAATAAAAACGATAACTTACCACACTTGCCATGGAAAGCAACGGTGATGTTGGCAGATTTGGTGCAAGCGACGCGATTCAAATCGCACGTACTTGGATAATCAACGCCATCCGAGCCACATACGGTACCCGCACCCTCATGATCACCGAGGCTTGGGCAAGATTCGCGACATTCGCACCTTGCTTCTGTGGCATCACGATTACGTATGCAATACTGGCCTAATGCGCAAGTTAATTTCTCGCATGGATCGACTTTCTCTGTAACAGAAAGTTAAATAGATTTTATTAATTTTTGATACATGGGATCGATGATCAGAATACACATCTATCCGCGTTTTATTTGTATAATAAATTATTCTAATCGTAAATTAGTGTTCATTGTTATATCTTCGTATTTTCAAAGATTATCTCAACTGGAAATAAATTATCAGAATCTCGGTACATGTAATCATAAAGTATTCAGTAGTAACAGTCTGGAATTAGTCAGGCGTAAGATGAAAATCCTATACAACCTAATTCTGTTCTTTTTGTGGAGCCGCGAGCATCCGTGTATAAAATTATCATTGTCAATGTGTCAAGTCATTAGTGTATCTATACCTGCAGGAAAAATGTAGCAACTCCTAGCCAAATTGACCAGCGTAAAAACGAGCGTCAGCACTGTTAACTCCATCGAGCTCGTTTGTAGCAATAGTCCACGAAAATAATAAAATAATTTTTTTCTTAGGCTGAAATCCGAGAAAAAAAAATCAACTCCAGCTTCGCAAGCTTTAAAGACCACAAAAAAAATTCTCATGCGTCAGAAATACCACACTAAGGACAAAGGATTAAAGCGAATATGTATTCCACAATTCGATTATTAAAGTGGTGCCAATTGAGCGATTAATTAATCGCTCGAGCGCATCTTTCCGACGTAATTACGCTGATGCAATATTGAGTTGCGAGCGTGCACCAGCATAAATCACACGCGGGACAGAGAAGATTGTGCATTTGTGTATTCTTTTTTTCTGCGTTTGTAATTCATCGCCCGCGTACGTTTGATTAAAAACTACGGGACCAACAGTTATTTTTTGCTGTCTCGTTCTTCGATTATGCGGCGTGCTCGTTTTAATTTGAAAATATTTCGCTGGCATTAGGGAATTTTCGTGCAGATAAATGCATGGTCTATTTTGAGGCGACTGGGAGGAAGGAGAATATCAAACATGCTGGGAGAATAAGAACATACGACTGGAATTTCGCGGCAAAAAATTGCTAGCGCAGAGTTGAACATTTTGCATTTTAGCTGGAACAATTGGATGCTCCCGTTAAATATGCTTGGACGCAAAAGTATAATTAAAAAGTTTAATATTTTAATGTATTCACAATTATTAACAATAAAAAATTCGCAAATTCAATTTCAGTTAATCAGTCTAATTTTGTCTTACTGCGCAGCACACCAGGAAATGTACATAAACCACACAGCCACACTTGCCACTTTCAAATTTCGTTTTCCATCTCGTGCGTGGTATGAATTCATCAGCGAGCGAGTGATCGCAGTACCAGCAAACAACGACTGTTTCGTAATTACGCGACTTGCAACGGCAGCAGCGGCGGCAAAAAAGGAAGGAAGCATCGTGTACGCGCGAGGATTTATATCGCGAGTTAATGCAATTTGCATGGGTTGGCGTAATGAGGGTGTCCAGTTATTACGACATCACGCGCGCTCGGGGGTATCACTTTTGACGCAGCCGGCCGTTATTCACGCGCTTCAGCTTCTTTTTTCTGTTGTCGCAACGCCGCCGCGAGATTTAATCAATTTCAACGAACGAAGCTTGCGAGGTAGAGAAAGAATGTTTTTTTTTTTCTTTTGACGCGAACTCAGGGTTTTATGCTTACATCTTTTTGTTTTGTGAGCGTGAATACGGAGATTTAATTAACACGCTTCAGAGAAATACCGTGATATGTATCAAAAGAATACTGTTTTTTGCCGGTGTACTAATGATTAATCATGTTGTTATAGATATGGGACGAGAAAGATTTTTACATATATTACAATGGCTTTAACATTTTATATTTATACCGTAATAAATTCATTGTTGTCTCTTAAATTTGATATTATATAACCGATACTAAAAGGCACATTCTTTTAAGCACATATCATAGGTATAAATTCATATATACACCTATTTACTAACATTTGTCTTAATTGATTAGTGCACATGATACCGTAATGATAACGATTGCAATGGCAAGAAATTATATCTACCCTTCCATAAACGAGCGCGAAAATAATTATTTTACTACCAATATATTTACACACACACACACACACACACGCGTGCGCGCACCTCAACAGTAGTAGCAGCGCGCTGATTTTTCGATTCGGACCAACACTCAGACATTACAATTAATAATCCATTCAAAAAAGCGCTTTTTTTAAGGGTTTGCTGCCGACTCCATGATTTATCGCTCATTTCTGTAATCCTCTGGTGATAGAGAAAAAAGGCATCTATCTCTTGGTGATTTTCAGCTTTACCCGCACACAAAATTTCATACAGCTGCGAGGGGGTTTGCCTTTTATTCGGCACAGTGCTCGAGTTTTTAAAAATTTTTTTTCCAACTAGATTTTTTTTTGAGCGCGAAAGAGATGAGATTGCAGATTGTAATTCGCATACACGCAGTGTGTTATTATTTTTCTCGTTAGTCCAACTCTTCGCGCGGAAAAAGTGTCAAATGTGAGGTATTAAGTTATATACAGAAACTTCGTCGGGCTTTTCTCCTTTGAAGCATATACACCTTTGTAATTATAAATCTGCATACGAATGAATATTGTTCATATTAGATTGAAATTTTTTTCTTGTAATTGAAAAATTCCCTTTATTAAACATGCGTCAGTCTAAGTTTGACAATGCAAACCGAAAAATAAAGAGATTTTCTTTTTTGTCCGATTAATTAAAAGTTACAGTTGTAGCTAATGAGTAAAGCATCGACGAGTCAACATACATGGCCTCAACCTTGCTACCCAAGCCTATATAACAGGTAGCGCGGAACTTCCCGCTTGCGGTTGCGGACGCGTATCAGAGGCTGAGCTTAATGAGCGGTTTATACTTTACCTCTCTTCCACTTTCTCGTTTTTACAACGCGATTGCTGCGCTTGTAGCTCGTTACATCGACAGAAACTATGTCGGACGATAATTTGAACAAATCGAATAATTAAAAAGTGATTAGGAGTGACTTGCAACTGTAAAATGTCTGAAATATTTGTCTTTTCCAAGTATCATCAATTAGTCGACGGCATACTGAGCTTGTTGGAGCTGGTATAAGGGGGTTACAAGCTTGTCTGTTAGAAAATATGGGCTGTGTGCGGGTATCGAGGTTCATTGATTTTAGATTACTTCATACAGCTCAGTAGAGAGAACTTTATAATGCTTTGTGAGAGTTAAGTAAAAGGCTTTTCTCTTACTTTTAAATCATAATTTATAAAGTTCGATGCGAGGAATTGAATTACAAGTAAATAAAATAAAACATGAAATTGGAAAGCACGTCGTTATAGCAAAACCACTATTTCTCGTCTTGAAAGCCGCAGAGTCATCTGAAAATTTACTGGTTTCTGCCATCAGAGACAAGTATATTCTCGGCACGCGCGATATGTAACCGCCGGCAATTAGCGCTCGCGAAATTTCCAAGGTTCGTGTCTTTTAAGACGACGGCGCCGACTACGACGAAAATTCACCCTTGTTATTTCCAAGAGACTCCTTGCCGTGGAGAAGGGGGAAGTGACACGTAGGTTTGACAAGGAGTATTGGATCGATCGAGAGACACACGCAATGTCCCGATGTTTCCTCGACTTGGGATTGAGTTTTGGATGTTCGCTGCATTAACTAATTACCTCGAGAGAGAACTCATCTGAGTTACATGACATGTAATTCATGAGGGACATTGCTAGTGCCCTTATCTCGTTGGGTCAATGTATGGAAATAATCGTGGTTTCTCTGCTGCCAGTTGATTGTAAATTGTATTGAAAAGGCATTGTCTTTTTATTTAATCTTCAAGTTGGAAAATGCTTCGACGATCATCCATGTCACAACTACATTTTATTTGGAAATCCTATTTTGTTCTAGTAATCCAACTTCTGCTTACGACTCAGCGAAATGAAAGGGGGAAACAAAATTTAAAAAGCAAAAGCGCTGACCCCCACAGTGAGAGAAAAACGCAGCGTCAACGGAATCCTCGTGGAAAAATCCATTGGCAAGCAGAGAGAAAGGGAGACAGCGAGAGAGAGACAGAGAAAGAGAGAAAGAGAGAGAGAGAGTGAGAGAGAGAGATAAAGAGAAAGAGAGAGAGAGAGAGAGAAACGGACAATACAGTTGTTACCAAGCCGATGCTCGCGTTCGCATCGATTCGCGGGTTATGAAACACTTGACTGTCGCACAAAGAACTCATTGTAAGCTTTTATCTACACTTACTTATATACGCATGCTTCGATTTGCCTGCGAAAGCGAGTCGGTAATTGAGTTTGATTATCGATTCTACGATACACTCGTACTTTGAACTAGTAATTTAAAAAATGAAAACAAGTTTACAACATAACTACTGTTTTACATGTCACAATAGTTTCTTACTTATTCCAAAAAAAGAAACTCACGGAAAAGAACCTCGAAACAATCTGGCGATTTGTAATTTCCATACCGAGCGACGCCAACTTATGAAAATACACAGACCCTCGTCGCGCCTGAATATTTCCGCAGACGACATAAATTTCGTTCTCGAGTTTCTCTCTCGAAAAAAACAGGTTAAGGCAAGAGTTAAAAACAAGTTTGGAAAAGGTGTTGTTCGAAATAATGCACCTTGCTTAACCTCAACAAGTGTCGTCTAGTGATGTACGAGGTTGGATCAATAAGTACTCCTGTTTTTAAAGATGCAGATTCTTTTAACAATTGTTTCATTGTGGAGAAGTTTCATTTTTCAACATAATTTCTTTTAAAGAAAATACAATTTTTCTTACGTTCTAGCCATTTTTTTAAAACTCTCTAAAAAATATGACTTATCAAATCCTTCAAAAACATCTTCTGTCTTAACGATGATCTCGTTTAATAGGAATGTGCATATTTTGCCGATTTTCGGTATCTATGATTTCAAAAGAGTATCGTTGGGTTTTCTACAGAAAATTAATTATATTAGTTTTAATTATTCAAGTATTATAATCAACATTATAATACAAAAGATCCACTGTGTCGAGAGTAGTGAAATTATTCTCGCTCAAGTCTATTGATTTTCTCTAA